TTTGTAGCTTCAGCAACTCTATGCAGATGACTCATAGATCCATACATCCAAGTTCCAGTCTCATCTGAGCATTAGTCCCAGGTCAGTACATATTGGACAATTCAAACTAAATCTCCTTTAGGAGATAAGCCACTTTTAGTGAGATCAAGACATGGTATCAAAATGTCAATGAGATTGTCTTCTGGTAAAAATTCTCTGAAATTCTTTTCCTTCAAAGTCCAGGTCAGGTGGTGATGGAGTGATGGGACCTGGACCCCTAAAAGAAAAGACTGTCTTTGAAAGCAACCCAGTCCCTGAACTTTCCCATATATTTCAGTAGCCCAGATCACTGGACCCTCTGCCCAAGGCATCTGGCCCACCGCAGAACACCTAGACCATCTAACTAGCTCACTAGACTAATTAGCTCTTGGCCCACCCCAGACTACTTGCATATACAGAATGCTCCCCAATCCCATCTCATCACCTAATTAGCCTGATAGTCCTTTCACCGTGGAACCTGGCCCACCAGTCCTTAATCTCATCCAGATCCTTTCACTGTCCTTTTTGCAGGTTCACTAGGAACCCTGTGGCCTTCTATTGGCATTACAATAAACTGCCCCTGGACTGGAAGATATTTGAGTGCATGAATTCATTCCTTGGGTGTGGTCTTTTGATTGCAACTAAGTTTTACAAAGCAAATCCTTTTAAGGGGATTTGTTCTGTGAAGTTTGGATTCAGTCAAAGGGCCATACTTGAGCACCTAGAGGGCCACAGGTTCCCCAGTCCTAATAACTTCATAGATGAGGAAAAAGATTCAGATGATTAAATGACTTGCATAAGCTATGATAGTAGTCAGTGGAAGATTGGGGATTTGAACCCAGGCCCTATGATTCCAAATCCATCACTTTTACCACTATACTGGGTACCACTTGTTTGGTAATGAAGAGCAAACATGGCACGCAGCTTTGAATCATTGATTAAAAAGATTTTCAAAAGTAAGAAAATTTATGTTTTAGTGAAGCTTTTACTTCTGAGTTCGTAAAGTTACTTAGCTTCTCCACATTTTATCTAGAAATATGTAGTATCTGACATAAAAGTTTTACTCAGCTGCCATCATTGAAAAAGCTCCTTGAGTTTTAGAATTCTTAAGGAATTCTAGAGTTGAATTATAGAAGACATCCTTACTATCATATATTTATGATTTCATGTACTTTATGATCTACAACTATCTTGAAAAGATTTCTTTAAAGTCTGTTGTCAATTGGACATTACCATTCAATCTCAAGATATACTTGTTTTATTCCATCCTGGCATTCTTTACTAAAGAAAAAGAGAAAAGTATGCATAACTTTCTTTTACAAAGTTATTATATACCACCCCCTCTCCCCCCACTGCTCCCCAACCCCCATACAACTGCGGTTGCATCTCACTTACATATGAATTACATTGCATTTAAATGGTACTTACCAAGTCCTGCCATTCTAAGGGCAAGAAGGTTAGGGCAGTACACACAGTAGGTACTTAAATATTTGATGACTGGTGGATTTCATTAGTGTAAGACCAGGAGATGCACACCACAGGGCAATCAATATGTGAATATTGATCCATTTATGATCTCCCAGATGCTTATGTCACCCACATCGTTAACCAATACTTTACCTATATTCTGTGTAGACTTTCATTATTTTATCACAGGTGTACTCGGCAGGGTGTTATCTTCTGCTTAAATGCTTCTGGAAAAAATAAGTTAACATATACCAGAGTCTGCCTCAAGCCTCCCACATATCCATTCAAGTTCTAGCATCAATTATCCTTAAAATAAGGGGTTTGTGCTAGGGACCAAAGCATTAAAAGTCACAGTACCTCATTTATTCTCAAGTCCATTTCCTGTTTGACTCCAAAAGCTTTGTCTGCCACACAAGCAATATGGTTTTAAATTTCCTTCTAGCACACATTTTCCACTACTGAAAATGGAATTGTAGGTATAGACACCTTGGAATGACCATAAACAATTTCTCTCAGACTGTCAGATGTCATTTTTTCTTGCAAAGAACCATCCCCCCATCATTTGGCTACCTGAGAATTGCTGAGTGGGCAAACCTATTGCTTTTATCCACAGAAAAAGACTGTTCTCTTAGTTTGAGAATTTGCTTTTTATCATGTTCTTTCCAACCCACAAAAAAGTTCCGATAAAGTGCACTTTATGGAAAAAGATGTTAGCTAATTCTAGCAGTAATTGGGGATTTTATTGTAGGTAGGCAAATTGCAGTTTAGCCGCTAATTTGCACATGAAGCCAATTTTGTTCTCAAAATTGCCTTATTTCACTCCTAAGGTGATTTTGCCACCAAATATCCAACTATGTTTTCCATAACATGAAAAAATCCTAACATAACTGAAACAGTTTACTACTCTGAATTCAGGTAAATTAAAAACTCTTACCTTTAAATAAAGTTGCATATTTTCAAATTCTTTGGGGACCTAAAGATCACAAAAAAGAGCTAGGTTCCTATCTCCTCCTAACTGTTAATACTCTATGGCCCAAGCCTTCTGAGCAAAAGGGTTAATAATCTCCTATCTTAAATGAGATTTGCCTGAACTACTTTCATCTTTTCATGACACCAAATAAAGCCATGTCTTATTAAAAAATTCATGGAAATATAACTAGCAGAAACTTTAAGATTTATAAAGCATTGTGCTATCTCATTTATCTTCAAAACAATCCCAAGAGGTTTAAGAATTTAGAAATTATGAAACAGGATAAAAAGCCAAGAGTCACACAGCTATTAGTTATCCCTTCCACATGGCAAGACCTATGGGCACAGCACCTCCACAATCCACACAAAATTTTTTGGCCCTTCCTTCTTAACAAAGAAGTCTGAATTACAGCATTAGAAGATGAAATGTCGACATTATATAATACTACCCAAATATTTTATGCACCCGAGTTTCGAAACTTTTTGTCACGTTTGCCTTTGTGCATCGTCTGCAGCAAAACTCCCAAAGAATTCCCATTTAATGTCTTTTGCTGACCCCAGATGTATCAAAACCCAGAAGGGCAAAGTCGAAATGTAGAAGGGGTAACTGTAATTATCTAAGGCAGGATTTTAACTTGGCTGATCATCATACTCCTAGCTATCAAAATACTAAGTAAAACACTAACTGTAATGTATAAAAGCACATCCAGGATCATTTATCATGAGAAATGAGTACATAGGGTCAGTGTAGTTTCTACTGGTTACTAAAGCTCAGTTACATGACCACTGCTAATTCTTTATAAACAAATTATTTCAGTTACGTTCAAACTGTCTCTGAATCACAGGAGGGGGCAAACAATAATTTTTATATGGTCTTTCTGTAATGTAAAAAATGTATCCCCCTGAAACATGCAGAAGTCTCAGCTTTTAAAGACACATTTTAATTATGATACTGCAGTGGCTTTTGACATGGGCAAGTTAAGTATACTAAGGAGGACCTGGAAGGGTTATCAGTGATTTCTCCTCTACAATGATTACATTTCTTGAAGGTGGAGGACAGAGAAGAGTGGTTAAAAAAACACACATACAACTGCTCATAGTTGCCATGAAAAAATATCGGTCACAGATAATACATATAGACTGAAGTACTGAACACTGTAAAAATTTTATTGGTGAAACCCACTTCTTCATTCAAAGCTATATAAAAACTTTCCAAGAATGCATCTAGATGAGTTTGTGAGATGTGGAGATTTTCATCAGACCAAATTATCCTAAAAAATGTGTTGGGATTTTACTTCCAGCAGAATTGGACATCTTATTACCAACAGTACGATAAACACTGTTAAGTAACACCAAGAAGCAGTATTGTTCCAGAATCCTGTAATTCCTAAATTGAGGATAGAATTCTGCAACATGACCTTGTCATGCCACAAGTCACAAGAAGTTAAGAAATTTGAGAAAGATGGAGTTGAATGTGCTGCAAATGACCTGAGAACTCAATAAATAGACTTGGAAGAATGGACTGTTCAAAGAGATGATTAATATCAAAAAAGGAGATGAAAGTATGGTTTCATAATGAATATCAAAATATTAGAGTAAATAATGTCAAATAACTGTAGCCAAAAGGGGATACTGAGCACTTAATATGCTTTTAAAGATGTAAAAAGTTGTTAAGGTTTATTGTGCAAATCATTGTTTTACTTTGTCCCAATTTGCACACTACCATACCTACTGATTTCACCTGACATTCAGAATGACAACCTGAGGACATACTTCAAAGTGTTGTTTTTAGTTGATCAAAGAAAATATTTCAAACATTTAATTACTTGAGGCAGATATTAAATATCCAGTGTAAGGATCTCCCACAATTGAACCAAACCCACCACTGCTTTTTCTTAGGCTTCACTTTTTTTTACTTGGATTAGAGGTTATAAAAGTTTCAAATGACCAGTCTTGGAATAAGACCTCATTATTGAAATACTTAAATATAGATAGATAGATATCTATATCTATCTATCTATCTATCTATATATAGATATCTATATATATATATAAATAAACTGATATAGCACTTAACACACTGCCACAAACTAAGTGAACACCCAAACACAGTTAACTGATGATAATTCAAAATAATAAAATTAACTAGGGGTAGACTGATGTCCTGTACCCTGTTTGGTTACAGCTACTGAAAACCAGATTTTAATAGCCTTTGTGCTCAAATCTGCAAATGCTTCAAATAACAACGGGGAGACCTTAAAAATATAACAAGCACTTCAGTACATTTAGAGTTTGTTTTAAGAAAGTGATGCAAATCATTTAATGAAAAATCTTTAATTCTGAAAAGTAAATTTTCTGGTCTAGGCATAAAGTTCATTTTCATATCATGGTTAAGTTTAGTACAAACTATAAAATGTTAACACTGAAGCTTTCAACAGAAATCTCATAAGACCCCTTAGAAAAATCGTATGTTCAAAGAAACAACAGTAAGCTATTTACTGCTATGAGGTTAATAAATACATAGAGAAAAAACATTCAGACACATGAAAAGTTTCACTGAATTTATCAATTAAATATTTTAGTCATAATATCCCATAATAATGTCAATAGATTGGCAATTTGTGTGGCATTCCAGTAGCTGCAATTTAAAATGAGAGTATTAGCCAAAATCTTTTAAGTTTGGAATAGGCAATTAATCAGGATGAGCCTAATTAAAACAAATCGTATTTGCTGAGATATGTAAATCTCAAGGAATATGTGATTATCAATTATGAAAGAGTTAACAGTATCACAGCAATGGCTAATTATTTTAAAATCAGTGGGAAAAGGTAAAAACAGAAAATGCTTAAAATTTGAATTGCACAAGGCAAATATTACTAGGAAAACAAACAAACAAACAAACAAACAAACATACAAGCCAAGCTGTGAAGTAATATCAAGTTTTTGTTACATCTTTAAAAAGAATTAAATGAATAAAAGCCACACAGCACTGAATTTGTACACAAGCTTCTTTTGTATTTCAATGTTGTTTATTGAGGAGTGAATGAGAGACTCTGTCAGACATGCCAAAGACACTTCACATTCAAGGGCTAGAAGCTGAATAGCTTCCCACAATTGAGTCACTGCACAAGCCTTTTAGGAAAAAAACTCAAAGTGACATCAATATGAGATCTTCATGCTTGATGTTTCTGTCTTCAGTTTTTTACTTTGTGATCTACTGGTGTGCTGGGTAGAAGGCTTCTTTCTTTCTACCCTACAAAAAAGACTCACACTCCAATTAATACAATTAACACTAGATGTATAGAAATGTTTTCTGTTAAAATGCACATCTACTGCTGAATAACTGGTCTTAAAGCTGTTTTTCTTAAATTCATTATGTCTAATGAAAATTCACTTTTGTTTCCCTTACACCTTCCCACAGGTGGCATATACCGATAGAAAAATACTCTTCAGTGCTACGGTAAGGTTTATAGGGAACTTCTTCAGTCTTAAGATGGGCATCCAGTTAAACACCCTTCTGACACCCAGCACTTCTCTTCCTGGCCGATTTGCAGAAAAATGGCCCACACGCACTACAGTTCTTTTGTGCTCAAAAACAAAACAAAGAAACCTAAACAAAAGGGTAAACGTTTATTTGGAGTTAGTTTTTCTGGTAGGTGATATTAAGGCCCTTCAAGCAGAATTCAGGAGCTCCTGTATAGCTGCCTGCTGCTCGGCATTAAGCTGTGATATGCATTCAGTCCATAATCCTCCAGAGGTCTACGGAAGAAAAAGATTTTCATCAGGATTCAGAAATGATGAGCATGTAAAATTTCAACAAATAGTCTCCAGGTTTATCTGAATTTTTTCTTTTCCAAGTTGAAACTTAAAACAGAATAAGTAATTAACCTTTTACTATGTTGCAAGGATTTTTGTAATATTTATAATATATAAATTTAGAAAACAAAGACTAATGACTTGGTAGATCTTAAGGGAAGGGATTTGCTTAGCAGCTATTTTTGATATTCATAAGTTCATAAGATCAAGGCTCAGAAAGACCTTAGAAGTCATCTAACCTACCCCCCTTTCAATTTATAGATGAGAAAACTAAGATGCCAAAAAGTTATAAGGCAAGTTATAAAAAGCAGAGCCAATATTCAAAGCCAGGTCTTCAGATCACAAATCTGGCATTCATTACATAATACTATGCAGCCTTATGTGTAAAAATATTATTTTATGTAAGATGTACCAGCTTCTTGAGAATTGGGTTTTTGTTTTTTTGATCTTTGTAACTCGTGAACCTAGTTTTACATAAGTACTTTAAATATGTTTCTGAAATTGAAAGCATTCATTTTAAGAATGGAAGAACCCCAAGTCTCGCAGTTTTTTTTCTTTAAGCGCCAATGGTGAAACAAAATGGAATTCATTAAGATGAACATGAATCATAAAACTATAATTTAATTTCATTTGAAAATAGTATTCCTTTTCTCTCAACTTAACAGAATTCAGCATACCTGTACTTGGCGAACAACATTAGCCAGACGTTTGGCACAAGGATCTTCGTGTTTAATAGCCTCATGAATTTCACTATCTGCAATTATACTGAATATTTTGGGCAGATTGGAATTGTTCGGACCAAGAACAATTGGATGATTACTGATGAAAAGAAAAGAAGACATGATCACAGATATGAGTAGAAAGTATCACCTATATATACACAGCAAAAATTTAAAACAATGCATTCTCCTTTCTAAGATCAATGAAAAATTTACAGAAATATAAAATAATATTCCTTAAAAAAATACATTGTTGCTTTTTAAGAGCAACATCAAGCTTAGTAGTAGCAAAGACTTAGAAATTGAGGGTATACCCATCAATTGGGGAATGGCTAAACAAGCTGTGGTATGTGATGATTGTGATGCAATACTATTACACTATCAGAAAACAACAAGCAGGATGTTCTCAGAAAAACCTGCAAACACTTACATGAACTAATGCAAAGTGAAACGAGCAGAACCAGCAGAACACTGTACACAGTTAAGAGTTAATATTGTACGATGATCAACTTGTGAATGACATAGCTATTCTCAGCAATACAATGATCCAAGACAATCCCAAAGGACTTATGATGAAAAATGTTATCTGACTTCAGAGAAAGAATTGATGGAGTCTGAATGCAAATCGAAGCACACTTTAAAAAAAAACTTTTTTCATTAAATGAAATAATGGGGAGACCTTAAAAACAAGCACTTCGGTACATTTAGAGTTTGTTTTAAGAAAGTGATGCAAATCATTTAATGAAATAATCATTCCATTTCCTTTTTCCATCAGCAGAAAAAAAATCAAAGAGGAGGATGTGACTCTCCAGAAAAAGAGATGGATTTAGTACCATCAAGAACAATCTTATGACCATGAAATGCATAGAACATTCTAATGTCAGCTTAAAGACAATATTTAGTTCTGTATGAATTTGAATTCTGCAATTCAAAATAAACATATGTATGTATGGAAACTCATTTATTTAGCCTCATACTTCATTGACATGCTGTATGGTAAGGTATTAAATGAAACATAGAACTAGCAGGAATTTTTAATATTATTATCCTTTCGTTATCTTAGAATAAAAGAATTATTGACAGAAGGTATTTTAGGTTGTCTATTCCAAATGCCATTTTATAAAAAAGGAAGCTGATCCCCAGAAAGTTGATGGGATATGTTCAAGGCTGATGGTTGGCAGCAAAGGCAGAAACAGAAATTCAGACTTCTACCATCAAGCAATGCTCTGAGACCAAAGAATCTATGAACTTGTACAGGGAAAACATCACATCTTTATTTTCACTAACCCTTAAAGTAAGGTTAGAATTTCCTTCAATTATTTTAAAACACAATTCTGTGAAGAGGACCATAGGCATCATCAGATTGTCAAAAAGGTCCACGACACAAAAAAAGGTTAAGAACACCTATATCAGGCTGTGCTGCCTAGCCAATACATTCTTCTTCTTCTTTTTTTTTTTTGGAGAGACAACTGGGGTTAAGTGCCTTGCCCAGGGTCACACAGCTAGTGAATGTCTGAGGCCAGATTTGAACTCAGGTCCTCCTGACTTCAGGACCAGTGCTCTATCCACTGCACCACCTAGCTGTCCCCTAGCCAATATTGCACTAGCAACCAAAATATCAGAATTTCCATTCAGATAGACAACTGTACTAAAATAATGTTTTGATTTCTTTGTAAATAAAAAGCAAAGTGCAAGGGACTCTTATAATCCTATTTTTTGCAAATTTCAAGACAAAGTACATTTTTCTTATACCAAAAGGATATAATTATAAGGTGATCTTTTAGTATAAAAAGATAACCCAGGAAGGCTACATTTTTAAGGATTCTGAACAGATATGTAGATATATACTGTAGTTAATCCATTTCAGAATATTCACAAAGAAAAAGAACAACATATTATTATGAAAAGTATGGTTTTTTTTTCTTTGTTAAGAAACAGTGTACTTTGATCATACCTTTCAATTAGGTCACATAGATAATTGAAAGTATGAACTGCTTCTTCTTTATCTTCATGAAGTGGAAGCCATGATAACCAGTGTGGTAGAATTTCTTCGACATTAACACAGTCAGGTTTGAACTTCATAATTTTCCCTACTGCAGAGATACAATTCTCAGTTGCATTAACATTTTCTTTGGTTTTAGAATCTGCAGACTGAATCACTCTTACCAGCAATGGAAGTGCTTCTAAAAAACAAAGACATTAAAAAATACAAGATTGATTAAATGCTAATAGTTTCAAGAGGAGAAAACTATGTGTGTACACACACACACACACACACACACACACGCGAATGGACTATATTTAAAAAGCAGGATAATGGGCAAGAAGATATAGTAGGATGGGGCTAGGATACTTAACTCCAGGGTTATAGAATTGAAAAAGTCACAGTACTCAGTTTCTACTTCTAGTGTGACAAACCAAGGCTATGTAAGTAAGTCTCCACAGAATCTCTGAAGCCCATGAAAGATAAGAAACTACTAATGACTTCACCCTGAGACTTTCATTTCTATGATATGAGTATAAAGTCTGAAGAAAAGTAGTAGAACAGTTAGGAGAGAATTTAAGTTTCAGTGAAGTGGAAGCAGATTATCTCTATGACTTAGGATTAGAAAGAAAACCATAGGGAGAAAACTTGAATACATAAGGCCTGCCTAATTATGATAGTGACTGGTAACCCTGTTAGAATGAAAAAGTTACTAAACTAGAAGTACCTGTGCAAAAAGGACGATAATTTTCTCCACCAAATTGTGCCATAACTCCTAGGCCATAAGCAGCAGCTTGCCTGACTTCTGGGCTGTTGTCACATACATACTGTAGCATTGGCCTTAGGAAATATTCTGCATATTTAAAAGAAGATGGACTGCAGTGCTCTATGACATCATCAAAGATGCACAATCCCCACTGTCTGTCTGGCCACGGTCTATGAGGACACTACAAAATAGAAAAAAAAAAATTTCCCCAAAACTTTCTGAATAAAGGTCTTTAACAAAAGTGTCACAAGATAAACTTAGACAATTTCGAGTGAATTACAACTATAAGCAGCATATATAATTGCCTCATCCTCTCAAAAATACTTCAAAAATAAGCATATAATCTTCGTGGAGCATAAAAAATGGTTACATTGGCATGGCTAAACTAAAATGGTAGATAATTTTGTTTCCCATTGAAATGAATTATTTTTGTAGCCCTTACCTTTCTAGTTAGGCCAATAATAAAATTTGATACCAATCTGAGAATCCATAGTGGATGCGACTAGTAAGGGAAGGCTGAAAGCACCAACATTCAAGGCAAAAGGGAAAAAAAGCTGGTGAGCTAATAATATGCTGGGGACAATCAAAAGGTAAACGCAAAGATTTGTGGTTTAGGAGTGTCTTCCATGATCTGAGTTTGCTCATCAGAAAAATAAACAGGTTGCCCTAGGTGATCTCTATGTTCCTTTCTACTGCTAACATTCTATGATTTTAGTTGAACCCATATTTAAAACTCTTATCTCCATTTGCCTGAGTATATAGCTAATATCAACCTCATGAAACTAAATAGGAAGAAAATACTTACGATTAAATTGACAATTAGTGGAAGCAGCTGTTCAAACCATGGCAGTATCTTTTCCTTGTAGCTACTAAATATTGAATGCAAAATATCTGACACTTTAGTGAGAATATAAACATCACTGTCATCCTAAAAAAAATGAACAAACAAGAGTTTAACCTTTACATAATTTTTACATAGTATAAAACATCTCTGTTAATAGTTATAAAATTTCCACTATTTCAATTTTGCATAATAACCAATTAGGAAAAAAAAAACACCAGTTCTGCAATTACATCTTGAGCTTGTTTTATGATTTTATCAATAAAACTAAATAAAAACCCTATTTCAGTTTGGCTACTTAGATATCTTTTAGGAGCTGAAAAGAAATGTCTATCTAAAAGCTTCCCTATGTACACTAACATAACACCACATGGTATAGGTACTCAATTCAAGAAAAAGTTGTTCTAATGCCACATCGAATCTCTATTAAAAGCTTTCCTAATGGAAGTTAAGATTGTAGATTAAAAAAACAAACAAACAAACAAACAAAAAAACCTCATTTCCTCATTAGTTTTACAATGGGCAATCCAGATGACAAAAAGAGAACTAGATATGCAATGTCACTGCAGGTACATAAATAAGTCATTTAATCCATCTAGGCTTCAGGGAATTGGAGTGGACTAAATGACCTCTAAGATCTTTTCTAGGAGTGACCCAATTATCTTAAGGGATGCATTTTCTCATTCCTATTTACCACCAGTTCAATCTAGTTTGTCCTAACTTCAAAACTTCCCAATGAGAAAAACAACTTCATCCTGACAACCCATGTTTGCAGATCTCTACATAACACATAGCAGCTACCAATTTTAAAGGTTAGTCAAAGATGGAACAAAAGAAAATTACGATTTTGAGAGAAGGTAAGAAAGCATTGGGGGAAAGCAAAACCACAGTTAATTGGATACTTTTTAGTAATGATCCTCCATCACAAGCCAGTCATTTTCGGCCCTAAAAATGGCTAAATATTTGATGGCAAAAGTTAATTTTATAATGGGAGTACAATTATCGAATACATATGATTTTCTTTCAAGTGGTAAGTAAAAAATGAAAAATAATTACTACCACTATTTACTATTGCTACAAAACTCAATCAAATGCACTACCTTCACTCAATGCGATGGCTTAGTAAAAGAAATGATTCAAACATTTTTTTGCCAGAGACTTGTTCAGTCCAGCTTTACATTAAAATGACCAGTTAAATCTGGATTATATTTCCAGTCCAAAAGATCTAAGTTCTGCGAGTAGAACCAGGAGAACGCTGTACACAGTAATAGCAACACTGTATGATGCTCAACTGTGAATGACTTTGCTATTCTCAGCAATACAATTCCAAAGGACTCAGGATGAAAAATGCTATCCATCTCTAGAGTAAGAACTGATGGAGTCTGAATGCAGACTGAAGCATACTATTTTTTACTTTATTTTTTTTTTTGAGGGAGGGAGCGGGGGAAGTGCGTGCAATCTGTGTTATCTTTCACAATGACTAATACGGAAATTTTTGCATGATTGCACATGTATAACCTATATCAAATTGCTTACCATTTCTGGGAGAAAGAGAAGAGAATTTGGAACTCAAAATTTCAAAAAACAAATGTTAAGAATTCCTTTTATGTGAAAATTGAGAAAAAATATTATTAAAAAAATCTAAGTTCTAACAAGGAAATAAGTTACCTCATCTTGTAAGGACTCTTCTACTTGTTCATCATAGTCTTCATCTTGTCTTTTAACTAAAAAAAAAACCCAAATAAATTCTTAAATCAAAGCTAAACATTGCTAACATAAGCATTTTAGAAACTGGAATCATAGCATTCAATTATTAAAATTGGAAATAAAAATAGCAAGTAACTTACCCTGTCTTAATTCTTGATTTTTAAAGTGTTCTTCAAGTTTGCCTTTCAGTATTCCTCCAAGCTCTTCAAAGTGTTCATTATTAAGGCATCCATCTCCCATTACTTCAATGCACTAAAATATTTTAATGCAAAACACTTTATGTTAATTTAATATATTTTAAAGAAAATAATCCCCCTTAAAATGGGATTGGATTTTACTAAAGGCCTGGGAAGGCCAATATTAATTGGCTAATAACATGGTAATTCTATATTTCAGTACTGCACTATATATGACTGGAAAGATACACAAACCTATTCATGCTCTATCTGTTAGAAAGCATGAATAGTTTAATAATGGCATAAACCATTAAAATGAATTATAATTAAAATGCTACTAATTCAAGTCAACTAAGAGAAAATCCAAATTACTCTTTTGCTCCTGAGTATAAACCAAAGTAGCTCAGTGACCATAAATAAATCTTTCTAAGATTCGATTATAGTGAATGCTGCAATCTCATTCTGAGATGTACATCAAGTCCTAGAATGAGCCTGCTAGCTGGAACAATTAGAAAAAGCTACTACTAACCAGATGATAAAAGCCCAAAGACTCCATTTGAGGCTAGCAGCTGTTAGAACTAACTCAATCTCCTTAAGGAAACTGTTACAGACAGGGTCATGGAACTAGAAGTTGGAATTGGAAGCCTCCTAGTCTCAGATGAGTTTGCAAAGGGCACTTGTCTCTACTCCCACACAGCTTTCTACACTGCACTCAGTATAGACTACCACGTATTCAAGGCAACACATCTCCACCACACCATTTGTTACACTGTTAGAGTATATAAAACAGTTTCTTTTCTGTCACCCCATTTTTCTAGACTATTCACAATATCAAGTGAAAAAGCAGAAAGCAAAAGAATGAGTCAAACTTATAAAAATAAGAGTCATTCCCCAATTGATAAGTGGTCAAAGGATATGAACAGGTAGTTTTCAGAAGAAGAAATCAAAGCTATCTATAGTAGTATGAAAAAATTCTCTAATCACTAATTATTGAAGAAATCCAAATCAACAAAACTCTGAGGTGCTACTTTACAACTGGCTAACACAAAAGAAAGGGAAAATGACAAATACTAGAGAGAATGTTAAAAAACCCAATACATTAATAAACTGCTGGTGGAGGTGTGAACTGCTCCAAACATTCTGGAAAATAAGTTGGAACTCGCCCGAGGGCATACCCTAGCAATACTACTAGGTCCGTATCCCAAAGAGATCAAAGAAAAGGGAGAAGGACCTGTATGACAAAAATATTTATAGCAGCAATTTTTGTGGTGACAAAGAATTGGAAATTGAGGGGATGTCCATCAATTGGAGAATGAGTGAACAAGTTGTGGTTTATGATTGTGATGGAATACTACTGTGCCATGAGAAATGAAGAGTAGGATGGTTTTCAAAAAACCTGGGAATTCTTATATGAACTCACGCAAAGTGAAGTAAGCAGAACCAAAAGAACATTGTACATAGCAACAGCAATATTCTATAATGATATATTGATATATGATAAACTGTGAAAGACTTGGCTACTCTGATCAATATAATGATCTAAGATAATTCCAAAGGACCTATGATGAAAAACACTATCTACCTACAAAGAAAGATCTAATGAACTTGAAGCATACTTTAAAAAAAAACTTTATATTTCTTGCTTTTGCTTTTTTTTTTTGGCCACATGGTTAGAAGTATATTTTGCATGACTTCATATGTATAACTGATATATTGCTTGCCTTCTCAATAGGAAGGAGGAGAAAATTTGGAACTCAAAATTAAAAAGAAAAAAAATATGTTGAAGATAAAAAGGGCAGAGAGCACCTTATTTCCAGTGAGCTAAAAAGAAGATCTTGCTAATGAACGTGCACAGGGAAGAACAAGAGCAGGTGCAAAACGAGATCGAGAATTCACGACCATTGATTATGTCTGAAACTGGTTTGCACTCAGAACAAAAAGGAGAAGACTATGGAAGACCAACACTAAGGCCAGAGATGTATTACAAAGCATTAAGAATTCATCAGACCATGCATTAATTCAGACCAGCATCCTGGTCTGAAGTCCTTGGTCTCACTTGAACCAAAGGTGTGCGTGGCATATGTTTACTTTATTACGTATCTTTTTACTCTGTTGTGGAATTGTCTTTTGTTTGACAATTACTATGAAAGGACTTGAGATAAAAGTATTTTCCAGGTTAAATCTGTCAGTCTGAACCTCACTTAACCAACAATGCCCATGTATTAATAGATGGTTTCTGAAATATTTGGACAAACAAAAAACCTCTTAAATTGCTCATATTTGACAATGAAAAAGATGAACAAGTACTAACCAGACCACAGCTCAACTCAAACCTTTGTTCTAGGTTAGATGTAAAATCTAAGTTTTTTTTTCATTTTGAGAAAATGTAAACAAATACACAAACTTGCTCCAAGAAAAAACAAACAAACAAACAAACAAACGAACGAACAAAACCAAAATGACCAGACCAATTACCTTTGCAAAAGAATGCATGATTTCTGACAGGACATCAGAATCTGGCTCTGTTCCAATAGCCTTAATAAGGGCATCACACATGAAGTGCCACATCTGGGTGAGGTATTCGGGACCACGAACTCTTGCACATTCCAGGAGAAGGGGCATGGATTCAGCAGCTGCCACTCGGACACGTTTCATTATTAAGGAAAGAGTAATTGGGACAAAACAGACTTTCAAACAGATGTATTATATTTTCCCTTATTTCTTGACCACTTTTGCTTATGGTGCGAGCTGCAATACATGATATGGGAGAACAGGTTTATCTAAGTCAAAGGCCAACAAATCTACAGTGGTGAACAATTTTCGTTCTCATCAATCAGTATGAAAAGTAGTAATGCCAAGAGTGAAGAAACAGGCCTTTCCAAGCAATCATGTCCAAATAATATCAATGTAACTAGGACAAGCTAGGCTGTAAACTGAGCTCATCTGGCTTAAGCTTTTGTTTTATGCCACAGAACAAAATCTAATCAACCCCAAAATGATTTTTAAAAGGGCACTTAACTAAACTAAACATAAGTTTGCTCCAGTTACTGTAAGCATCCTGAGATATTTTTTAAAACCATACGGAACATTCCTAAATGAATGTTTGCTACTCGTTTGTAGTGAAATCTTGGTAGCGGTTCAATCACCCCATCTCTGTGATATCCCAGAATGAACTCAATTTTCAAAGAAATGGTCTGAATGTGATTATAGAAGCCAGCAAACTTCGTTTTGGTTCCTGTGATTTTCTATACAGAGGCATAGTGTGGGATCTACATCCAAAAAGTAAAAACATTAAAAATTAAATACAACCCCCCAAACCAGATATTGAAAATAAACTATTACTTTCAAAGCTTCTGAGCATATGATTTACTATATTCAATGCATGCTATTACATAAGCTTAGGTAATTCTTTGTGAGTCCATAGCTTATGAGAAATTGGTAAACACAGAAACTGAGTAATTTCACAATTATACTCATAAAAATCAGTTAATTCTTAAAATCCCTGGGGCAATATAATCCAGACACTATAGCAACTAGGGAATTCTAACTTCAAGCTCCAAGAAGTGTTGCTTTTTCAAATAATAAACAAGCCAATGTATTGTTGAGGTCTTATTCACAACTTCTACATAAAGCACTTGTTTTAAAAGAACAAGTTTATCCTGTGGTGATAACAGTACCACCTTAAACAAGCTATATTTAATTGTAAAAAACTTTTCCCATAATTGGACGTGAATTTTGTGTTTAAAAGGCACAGGATATCATCATGAAAATAGAATTTCAACAAGGGAACCATCAGCTTTACTACTTGTTCAGTATACTCCACAAATCCTTCCTTTAATTCCTTTGCATAGCAAACCTGAAACACAAACAATGAAATGTCAATATTAATGCTCTGCTTCAGTACTGATATAACAATTCCCACAGAAAATGATAAACAAAGTTCTCAGACCTATCAAGTGATAAACATACAGAAACAATTTTTCTCAGTGTGTTTATATGTGAATATTTTGGATGTCAAAAGAATTTTCATTCACTTCTAAAAGTTGGAGACAAAATGCACTGTCATTCAATGCCTTTCTAAAGTTTTCTTAATTTTGATGAAAATATCTGTCTTCTTACTTTTCCAAGATTTAATTCTTAGGATGAAAAGAACTTTAGAAAACAAATTAGGATGAAAAGAACTCTTAGGATGAAAAGAAAGAAAATGAATAAGGACACCTAGAATCTTGCAATACAACAGAAGTATGACCTTGCATATAGGAGTCTCAAATAAATCAATCAACCTAAAAAACCTTATGAATTCTCCATGACAGCCCAACTTGAAAAGGCAGAACTGCACACTGGTAAAGGCACTGGACTCAGACAAGAGATGACTAGGGTTGCAGTTCCAATGCTCCAAGACATTAGCTCTGATAATGAGAAATACCATTGAATTTTTCATTCTCCATTTTCTCCTTTATAAAAGTTATAATAACACTGCTTCCATTTTCTACCTCTCACGGGCAATTATGCACGCCAAAAGCACTTTGCAAGTACATAGTTTGCAAGCTTCACTAAAAACAAATGAAAATGAAACTTAAACATTTAATACTGGCTTATAATTCTGAAGAAAACTTAACTTTAGGATTTTGCTTCATTCTTTTAGAGCTCCTTAAACTATCAGATAATAAACAAGTATTTATGAAGAACCTACTGGGTTGTCACTGTGCTGGGGAAAATATACCTGTCCACAACAAGCTTACCTTCTAATGATGGAGACATTATGTAAATATACACAGAGTAAATACGAATAGATACAAAGTAGCAGTTTGGAAGGGATCAGGGAAGGCTTCATGAAGTTGCATCTTAAAGGAAAAGAGGAACTCTTTTATAAAACAGGTAAGGAGGGAGTGCATTCTAGGCATGGAAACAAGGAATGGAGTATCTTATATGAAGAAGAGAGAAGGCCAGTTTGGCTGAGTCACAGAGTATGAATGGGGATTAATGTCCAATGCTAAAAGGATAAGTTGAGGCCAGGTGGTATAAGACTTTAAAAACTACAGAAAAGCCACTGGAATTGGTTGAGACATGAAATAGTAAGATTTAGCAATGGATTGGATATGTGAGATTAGGAAAAAAGAGGAATCTGAGATAATACTGTAGTTGCAAATCTAGAGACTACAAAGATGGTACTTTCAAGAGAAACAGCAAAGTTTGGAAGAGGGTAGGGGTTTTAGAAGAGAATATAATGAGTTCAGTTTAAGGTATCTTCAGGATATCTAATTTGAAATGTCTAATACACAAGTGATGATTTGGGACTGAAGTTAAAGGGAAAGCCTTGGGCTGGATATATAGAACTGAGAATCACTGGCATAGAGAGGCTAATTAAACCCATGAGAGCTGAAGAGTTTAACAAGAGAGGCCCCAGGACAGAACCCACAGTTGATAATGAGCCAGCAAAGGAGACTGAAGGGTGATATAAGGGAAAACCAGAGAGGTAAGAAGAACTGGGGGAATGGAGTCAATAGTCTCCAATACAGCAGGCAGAGTGAGGATTGGGACTGAGAAAAGACTATCATATTGGTGATTAAGAGATCACTGATAACTTTGGAAAAGCATTTTTCAGTTGAATGATGAGATAAAAAGCTAGATGTGGCAAAAGGCTGACTACTGTGGAGAATGGGCAGAGAAAGAGAATGTATATGAAACATATTCAAGGACGTTGGCTGAGAAAGGGAGGCGAGATAAAAGATTATAGTTTGAAGGATGGATGTCACTTGGGAATGTTTGAGGGCAATAGGGAAGGAATCAGTCAATAGGAAGAAGTTGATTGAAAGGGGGAGATGTCTGAAGATGTAATCTGCTTAAGAATCTGAGAAGGGATAGGATCAAGTGGACATAGTGTTGGAAAGGAAAAGGGTCACCCCTTTCTCAGAGAGTGGATAAAAAAAGAGAGTGATATTGCCCATGGAAAAAGAGAGGGCTCATTTCTTTTTCAATATAGTTAAAATGCTGACAGGAGAAGTGGGAGAGAGAAATGGGAAAGGCTTCAGAATAGCAATAACAGCTAGCATTTATATAGTACTTTTAAGATTTGAAAATGTTTTACAAATAGTATCTCATTTGATCTTCACAACATCCCTGAGAGTTAGAGGAAGCTATAATTATCCTCATTTTACAGTTGAAGAAACTGAGGCAAAGAGGTAATGTGACTTGTCCAGGGTCTCCCAGATACTAAGTTTCTGAGAATGGATTTGAAATCGGGTCTTCCCACCTTCAGACCCAGGCCCAGGTCCAAGGCTTTGTGCAGAGCCTCCTAGAAAGTTTAAAATCACTTGGGGGGGGGGGGGGCAGGGGGAAGGGAATCAAAATGACTGTGAAAGCCTAGTTGAAGTTGGATAACACAAATTAGTAATGTGCCCAGTTAGCATATGGGACTTTACGCAGACAAATGAGCTGGTGGGAGTAATCCCAGGCTAAAGTTTGGCAATAGAAGAGCAACACAGGACAAGGAAGCCAAGGAATTCATGAGCAGAGGACAGTGGAGAGATGAAAAGGCCCAAGAAAGTCTTGAGGAATACAGAGGACAGCAGTCTCAATGAAGGCTAAGAACAGGTAAAGGAGGGGTGATGTACAGGTAGAAAGAGGAAGCTGGGAGGTTATGGTCAGGTAGGGGATGTCAGAGCTTCTAATGAAGGGAGGAGAACACTTGAGGGCAATGAAAATCTAGGGTATGATCATCTCTCTGTGTGGCTTAGGAGACTCATGGAGGTTGAGCAATAGAAGGATAGGGGGGAAGTTTGAGAGAGTCTCTTGGTATAAGGGCAGGAATAAGAGACTTTGGACAGTTCTCTGCCCCCATCCCTCTATCTGACAGAGAAAAAGGATGGTAGAGGGAGTAAAGAGATAAATGGCACAACATAATCAGCATTTAAATAAGACATGGGGAAATATACAGTCAAACTTTCTATAAGAAAAGTGAAAGTTCTAAATGATAAAAATATCAGAAATGCACAAAGTAGGAGGCAGTAAATAATATGAATGCAATGTTAATGTCAATATTTCTTTATTCTAGATAAGTAGTGCCAAACTCAAAGATAAACAGATCCCTGTATGCTGCATATTGGCTTAGAAAACAAAACAAAACAAAAAATCAACATTATCTATATTTCAATGTATTTTTTTTTAGAAATGTAATTTCCCAATTACACTTTAATTTGGTTTGGGCCACATTTAAGAGTGGGGCAACATGTGCCTATGGGCAATGAGGTTGACACCACTGTTCTAAATGACAGACCAACCTACAAACTCTTTTAAAGGAGTAAATTTCTAACTTCTCAAAATAATTATAACAGCATCTATGAAGTATAATTTCCCAAGATAATACAAGTATATAGGGAGTTCCTATCTCTTACCAACATCTGGCAAGCAGTTGATTTTTCTTCAAGGCCTGCTGTTTTAATTCCAAAACTCTGCTGGTCTCCAAGGTTCACAAATTCCCAGCCATCATCATCACTCATATTTTCCATGTCTTGTGCTATTAAAGGGAAGAAAAAAGGGATTAGAACAAAGCAATATTAAAATATTAACAAAGAAAAAATTTATCACAAATATAATAATATATCAGAACACTTACTGTCTAAGAGAGCCACTTCAGGTTTAATTGATGCTGTCTTCATTAAAGGACCCATAACCACAGGAAGGTACTGCTGAAATTCTTTTCCCAGGATCTTGCACATTCTAGCCCATGCTGAGATCATGTAAGATATCTAAGGGATTGAAAGAGAAAAAACCTTCCAACAATTTGATTTAAGTATGTGTGTAACTAAATGTTAATGACCATTACAAAAATAATGTTCTATATAACTGATCAATCAATCAATGAATCAACATTTCCTGAGTGTTTACTATGTACCAGGCAGGGGACTACTGTTCTTGTGAACACAAAGAAAAAAAAAATCAAACAGTTCCCCCTTCTTGTAAAGAACTTTGATTTGATCAAGGAACATAACATATAACAACTATGTAACAAAATAAAGATGAACTGCTCAATGAAGTGGGACAGCTTTGCATTGAAGGTGATACATGAAGTGAGCCCTAAAGAAAGTGAGCAATTCTACAATGACATGGAGAGGGAGTATATTTCAGGTATAAGGCAGAGCCGATGCAAAGGCATGGCAGTGAGAGATGAACAGTCCTGTGTGAGATATGCAAAGTGAAGCAAATATGGCTAGACTGCAATGTGGAAAGGGTAAGAGGATAGAATAAGGCTAGAAAAATAGGTTGGAAATAACTTGTGAAGGGCTATAAAAGTCAAATGCGGAAGTTTATCATTTGGTCCCAAAGGTAACATGATGCCAGTGAAGCTTACTAAACAAGGAAGTGACACAGTCAAAATCTGTGCTTAAGGAATATCACTTTGGCAGCTCTCTGGAGAACGCAATGACACGGAGAGACTGAGGGAGGCAGATCAATTTAGGAAATCAATACAACAGTCTGGAACAGAGGTCATGAGGGCCTTAATTAAGGTGGTAATGAGAACAGAACTGCTGCAAGAGATACTGAGGTAGAAATGGCAAGATTTAGTAACGAACTGGATATAAGGAGGGAGAATGGGTGGTTTAAAAAATTTATACATGCTGTGTTGTTTTGATCCTAATTAATACCACATATACAAAATAACACTAAAAGGGGCCTTCTGTGGTTTCCAATCATGGACTTGTCACTAAGTATGATGAAATAACAGTAATGGCTAACATACAATATATCACATAGATCACATTTATAAAAACTGGGCACACACACAGATGATGCACTTTAAATTGAATATATCACAGAAAATGTTCAACTAAAATATTAGGGTACCAAAAATTCCAAATTGGAATACCCTGCAAGGTAGGCAGGATGAGCCCTATCCCCATTTATGGAAGAAAAAACTAAAGCTTAGTGATTTTTCTCCAAGGTTACCTATAGGTTGAAAGTGAAGACTTCACTAACCCACTAAAACCCTAGCAAAACCTGTACTTAGGGATGCCTCAATTTCTTATGATCAGACAAGTTTTATTAGGTTGAGACCTATGTGGAACAAGACATTATGAATGTGTGTGTAAAGGATTTTATGATGTATGTAAGAAAGAGAATAAAACTGTCAGGAAAACCAATTTGGTCCCTCAACTGTCCTTTCTTAATCTACTAATTACTCTGGAGGCTCAGTTAAAGGAAGCAATGAATGAGAGATTAACAACTTGAACATTAGTCAAATGAATTCAACAGTTCTAAAATGCTGTTTTGTTGATGTTCAAATGTAGAGATATTTTCAATTATTATTATCATGACTGCTGGCCTGAAAGTGGTTTAATTAATTATAGATAGTCTATGAGCTGTAATATTATCTTTCAGTCCAAACAGATTCTCAAAATGAAACGAAGTCTTTATCATCTATTACCTGTTTTAAAAATTCCTATATATAAAATATATTAACAAAAATCTCAACTTTAAGCCATTATTTTCTTTAGGAGTAGTAATTCTTTTAGAAAGTGAAACCTTCAAAATTTTTTCTTTTCAGTGATATTAGAAAAAGCTAAATCTAATAATAAAAAGATTTACATAATTGAGGGAAAAAATGTACCAATTAATATCATTTGATTTACCTGTGGGTCATCGTCTTCCAATTCACTAAAGTCTGTCTGTGTCTTCAGCAATAGTTGCATCACATCTGATGCATCTTGCATAAACTAGAAACAAAATATTTTCAAAGATGAAACTGCAAAATATTACTGAAACAAATTAGAAACAGGAAAGTATTTGCTCTTATATAACTTTTCATGGTTACTCTGGAAAAACTGCAACCACAACATACTTATTGGGTCAGCAGATGCCTCACAATTTTAAGTAATTTTAAGACAAAAAAATTCCAGAATGACAGGAAAATTTAGATTTGTATCCTGGAGTTAACTGTAACTGAATTCTTTCTGCACAATGCCTTCAAATATCTTGGATACGATATACTCTAGTTTGTTTTAAGTCAGATATCTGGAACTCAATTATAAATTGTCAGTTAAATTACAGTACTATTCATAGCCTATTGCCACCAAAGTTCTTTTGAACCTTTAAAGGCTGGGTAAATAGGTCAGAAGAGTTGGCGAGAGGAGTTTAGAAAGCAAGGTGTAGAGAGAAGGATGTCTTGAGTTAGTGGCAAAGCACTAACATGTATGAATTGTTCATAAGTCTTCCTGGATCAAGTGCTACATCTCTAAGAATACAGAGATTATAATATTAGAAACTCAAAATTTGAGACTAAAAGAAAACAGCAGATTGTGATGATCTTGATAAAATATTGTTCTGAAGAGTTTTGTATATGGGTAATATTTTCAGAAGACTGTTATTGGTTTTTGGCTAAGAAGCAGCAAAAACGTATCATTCTTTTAAATTATTTCAGTTTTAGATTATGTTTTTAGAAAAAGGGCAACTGATATGAGATAAATGAAAATGGAAAATCTATTTAATAGGCACCAAATCAAGTTATAATAAAGGAATGTATTTCTCTGTCAAATTTATTATTCTAAACTACCAAATCATAAATAGTAAATGCAAAATATTTCATAATTCTTACCTTTTCCTTCCCAACAGCAAGACCAATAAGACTAATGCATTCAATAGTTTTTCCTCTCAGAAGTCTAAGTTCTTTCTGAACAGCATTTTCAACTATGTGTTTTAAAGATGGCATAAACAAATCATAATATGGGACAAATTTTTCTTCTGCTGTATCTGCAACTGATGCAATAGAAGTCACAACTTGTTCCAAAACTAATTTGGTGCCTTTCTGAATCAGCTTGGAAAAGAAAAAACATACAGGAAAAAAAATTCAACCACAAAAAAAGATAACTTGTGATACATGAATGGAATGGAAAATTACTATACTGTAGAAAATGACAAGTGTGATGAATATAGAGGCATAGGAACATTTTTATGAGGTGATGCAAAGTGAAGTTGAACTGTGAAAACAATATACATGCCTATAACAATTTAAAGGGGAAGATCAACAAAACAATCAAAACTGAAAGATGTGAAAATATAAGTTTGGCCTCAAAAGAATAAATATGAGAAAGCATCTCCCCCCAACTTCTTTGCAGAAGTAGGGCACTATGGGTATGAGAACACTGCATATGTTTTTTCCCTGTGTTGGTTTTCTCTTTTACATTCTTTGTTAACAGGGATGGCTCTCTGGGAGGTGGAGGATCTAAAATGGGAAATAAGTGATGCAAAGACAAAAAACCATTATGTCAAATAAAAGTGGCAAAAACAGAGAAAAAAGAAAACCCGGGACAAACAACCAAAAAAAGGGAATCAATGTAAGTAATTCAATCTGGCACTATAGCCTCAATTATCAATTCATCCAGAACCTCCCTCCTTTTCCCTCTAACCACAAGGTCAGTGAGACATTTTCTTGGAATAATTTGCCAGGCATTAATCAGGGAAGGGGGGCAGAAGAGTATGTCTGAGCATTTGTACCCTCTCTCAATCATTCTGCCACCTCTCCATACTGGGTACACTGAGATTAAGTCTTCTACTTTTGCCTACCAAGCTCTGTACTTTTATTTCATTTGCAATATAGCACTGTTCAACACTTCCTATCAGGCATCTCCTCCTCAAGACTTTTCCCATCCTGATCCTAATTTTCTAAACCACAAACCTTCTAATTAACTTAATTAAATTTAGCATTTACCTCCTACTAAGAGTCCACTGTGTAGTTAAGTCTTCTCTATCCCCTCAAGGCCCTTCCAGTACAGCCAAGGGGATGTGTACAAAAAGAATTGTAACAAAGTAGACTAGACTCAAGTGGATTACTTTTAAAGTAGAAGTCCCTTCCTTCTTCACCCTATTATGTTACAAGTCCAGCTTCCTCATCTGTCCCTCCAGTAGTCTGAGGCCACGTCACCCTCATGGCTCAGTAGGATGGGAAAGCCAGGCTTGTTTTTGTACCTTAGTGTCACTCCTGTGTCATCAATTCTTGAGTGCCACCACTCTTCAAGGAGAGACTCTGTTCCTTCTATGAATCATTCCCCAAATCCTCTCTATCCACTTCACTTATCTTGAATGCGAATCAGCTTAACACCTAGATATGAGTCTCTCAAGATACACCCTCATCACCTTACACCTCATAATCCTCACTGGCTTCAACATACTGACCCCAAACCTTTGACTGCTTTACTCATTTTTAGGATGCAAACAATTTTAACTTTAATCACATGAATGGACCACAGATCTGGTATCACTCTACCCCCAACACCTCCTATGTGGTGCTATCTCCTCAATCTAATGAAAACTATCATTTAACATTACTCAGACCTTGCTCTAAACAAGGCCTCCAATTAATTATATTACTTTTTACCCAGTACAGATCACAGGATCAATTACTTCCACCATGTCTTTGCCACTAACTTAAACTATTCCTTTGCCTCATTATGATTAGCCAAACCAAAATACCACGTAAGAATAAATGCTTTCAGAACCTCTCACACTATATAGTGTTTTGTTTATATGTTTCTGCTCAGATGCACAAACAACCCTGGAAAAATATTAGAGGCCAGCAACATAGTATTTTGGGGCAAAGTACTAGATTTGGAATCAGAAGACCTGAGTTCAAAACCTAGCTGTGCATAACTTTGGGTAAGTCACTTTTACCTTGGTCATAATTTCCTTAAATGTAAAATGAGGGGCCAGACCAGATTATAGGATCCAAGACTGAGACCTTAAAACTTATTTAGTCCAACCTGTACTATCCAAGATTCTCTGAGAATTTTAAGATCTTTTAAAGTCACTTCTATTCTAATTTCTATGAGGCAGTGAATTCCAGTTCCAATAAATACTAGTTGTATATTACTTATTATTTTTTAACCCCTTTAAGACTCAGTTTTTATTCTCTCTAAAAATATAATAATTTTAGCATAACTTCAGAGGATTATTTTGAGTACAACACACATTGTAAAATGTAAGGTATGTTATGAATATGAGCTATTAAGAAGCAATACCATGCAAATCTAGCTCACTATGGTATTGTGTCAATTTGGCCCTTGCTACTGCTCAGTAATTCTTTAATAAATCTATAGTAGAATAATCATGTCCAGCTATTTGGGAAGGGATGGAGGTACCATGGTCATTGTACTATTTTTGTTACTGAAATTTTAACAACATGTAGTATTCAGGATCTATATATTAAGTCCCACCTAGAGAGGGGAAAAAGGGGAAGGAGGGGAAGAGTAGGTTCAATGAGGATCAATATGAAAGAGAAAGGTGCATAATCTCTCCTGGCCCTTGGGTGTGTCTACTGCAGGACCACTTGGCAATCAGAGTTTAGAACTAAGGAAACATAGTGAGACTAAGTGAAATATGGTATGAATAGGTGACTCGACTGTATTCACTGTAGAACTGGTTAAAAAGCCCTAGAGTGGGACAGGCCACCTAGAAGAGGACAGTATGCAGATATCCACTTTAACATAGAGGACAACTGCGGGCCTCAGAAGTCTTCTCTCATTAAAAGTTTAGGAAGTAGGGATTACAATCTTATGCCACACCTTGTTCCTTGACCATTGCATTCAAGTACGTCTCATCGTGTAATTCTTTTGTGTAACTACCAGTAATGGACATAAGGAATGGGGAGGTCCGCAACAGTAGTGGTGAGGCTATTGGCAACAGCTTATAGAATCAGATGCAGAACTAGAGGGACAACAGAACTCATCTTGTTTAACATGCCATTTCACACATGAGGAAACTGAGGTCCTGGCAACTCATTAAGGGAAGGAAAAACTGAAGATCTTTGTTTCCTCTGACATAATATGCCCAAAGATAATAGTGGCTTTGCAGTCTACCAGAAAGAAATGGACCAGTCATTAATATCTCAGGTGTGAAGCCCTTTCTTTTTCCATTTTTTATTCTTATTTTTTTCAGCTCTATACTATAAAATATCATACTATTACCTAGTTGATGGCAACACAACACGTACAACATTGAATGATGAACTAATCAAAGGTTGTATACATGAACTTTCTCAAAAAAAAAAAAAAAAAAAAAAAAGTCAAAATGAAATTGGTGTTAAAACCCCCCCAAAACAAATTGTAATTTAACCTACCTCCTGAAGTTTAATCACCATTATGGAATGAAGATGTTTCACCAAATTGTCTAAATATGGAATAAGCAGCGATTTGGGACAATCTTCGGTAAAATTAATAAGAGCCGCCGCAGCATGTGCTTGAACACGCTGATTACCTTGGTCTTCCATGGTTTGTAAAAGAGCTGCAATCACCTGTACAGAATAAAGACTCTTAGGAAATAGTCATTTTGCAACCTTCTTTTTCTTTTGTATTTCAGGGCTTACTTGCCTTCTCATGGAATTTCTTTTGGAAACCAGGTGCAAAGTCTGTTGCCATTTGTCCAACTGCATTACAGGCAGCATACCTCACTCTTGGATGCTGAAATCATATTTTCACACATGTACATGTTAATGTATTGTAATCAAAGCTGAAGTGAATTAAAAAAAAAACTGAACGAAACAGCTAATGGTACTTACAGGATCTTGAAGGAAAAGCAAAACAAAATTAACTATTTCATTTAGAATCCCCTCCATTTGCTGGTGACAACCCTCTCCAATGGCAGACAAAGCCATTAATCCAGCATGTCGGTATTTCCAATCAGCTGCAGAAAAACATTACAAATAATATCAGACAAATAAAAATAATTATAGAAACAAGGTGGAAAAATGAGATTTAATACTAAAAAACTAAAAATACAAGCATAACTTTCAAATGCTCATAAATGTGCTTACTTAAAAAACAGGTATGAAGTTCTACACAAACAATTTCATTTTGTTAATCATAGTAAATGTTCGTGCAATTGCATGCTAAATTCTCAATTTAAGATCAGAGAGAAGGAACAAACAGAATAAATCAGCATTAATACAAAATATTTATAAGAATTCACTCTCTAAATAAAACTTTTTATTGACATCTCATTCATCATTATATAAATCTTAACAAGTTTGAGAATAGACAGGTAGTGTGATTTTTATAGATGAGGATACAGAAGCAAAATAAAAAGATAAACTGTGGCAAAATCAGGAAAATAACCCTAAGTTCCAAGAAAATAATAGATTGGTACAGGATTACCATTATAAGATAAAGGAGCGATAGCTGAAATTTTTATAGTACAGACTTGCTGATTTTTAGAACAATTTAGGAATGTCACAAAATTCATTTCCCTCAAAATTCCTTAGAAGCTCAAATGTCAGTAATGCCACAAATGATAAAATTCAAATTTAGTGAAACTCTTATAAAACATATCCATTTTTGTTTATTAGAATTAGTCAACCACTGTTTTGTTGTTTTTTTTTTTGGGCTACATGTGAAAATGAAATATAAAAGCAACAGAACTTTATGGATATAACATTGGGTTGCATTAGACATCTTTATCATTTTGTGTAATGTAACATACCTGAGTCAACGTAAAATTAGCCACTATAATAAGGTTAACAAGGTATTAAGCTTTTGAGTAATACTACTTTTATCCACATTCAACCACATTTTTACAAATGTTCAACATAAATTTTAACTTTGGTGAAAATGGAAAACGAATACATCAGCATTTGATGTACTTACTTGATCTTTTAATTTCCAAGAAGGAATGCAATTGCCATATCTCATACGAAATCAACATACCTATGACAATATTTATCATTTAATTCTCCCAGCTATAAAATTATTAGCAATTAGATGCAATTTCATTAAGATATAATATATATGATGGTGAATGAGACATTTGGCAAAACAAACAAAAATAAAGAAACCAATTCTACTGCCAAATATAGATAGATACATGGGGAAAAAAAGGAAACCATAGGAGATCAAAAGGTTTTTTCCTTCCTATTTTAAACTTAACATGCTAGATAAAAATGATTAACACTAGATAATGTGTCTAATTCTTGATAAATGAATGGACAAAAAGTTTTAGTTTACTCTGAAAAAAATCCAAAAGCATTTAAAATTTAGAGATTACTCAAAGGAGAGGGTCATTTAAGGAAGGTCTAATCTATAAACTCACAACCACCATTCCATCCTACAAAGCCAGTGTGGGATAGTTATTTGTCCATTGTAACTTTTCCATGTTCTTTTAGGAACAAATATATACTATGAGGGTAGGAAAAGAGAAGTAGATTACTAATGACAATGATGAAGGGGTGGCTTTAAAAATATTTCCATTATATGTTTTACATGATAGCACATGTATAATCCAGATCAAACTGCCTATCATGTTCAGAAAAGGGGAGAAGAGGGAAGAAGAAAAATTCGAAACTCAAAATCTTGTAAAAATGAATGCTAAAAACTATTGTCTTGACATGTATTTAGGAAAAAATACTACATATATTAAAAATAAATTTCCATTAAACCCCCTGGAATGCCCACTTTGATGACTACCTTTCATTCTAGATTTCTTTCACTTTCTTGACACTATGTTATCTCCCTTAGACATTTACTTCCATGGTTTCCTGTGTAGATAACACTTATGAGTCCTAACCAGACTTAAAATTCCAACTGCCTCAGTTGGACATTCCCACTTGAATGTCCACGAATACCTTAAGTTTAACATTTCTAAAATAAAACCCACCATTTTTCATCTTAACTTGATTCTACTCTTAATTTCTCTATTTTCATGGTGGAAGCACTACTCTTCTCCCACTTACCCAGGCTTAAAACACAGGAGTTAGTTTTCATTCTTCCCACGAATACAACCAGGCCTACCAACAAAGCCTGATGTTTTTACCTCAAAAATTAATTTCTATTCCCACTGCCAATCTTCATCACACCTAGATCAATGTAGAAAACTCCTAAACTGACTTTCCTGCCTTTAGTATTTACTTCTCAAATTCATCTTTTGCAACTACTGGCAAAGAAATCTTCCTTGCTTTAAAAAAAAAAAAAGCCTCAGTGGTTGTTCAATCAATCTGATTGAGTCACTTAGTCACATTTTAAATTGTATTATAATTATTCGCGTACATCTCATTGTCTGTATTAAACTAAAGTTTGTTGAGGCCCAGGGCTATGCCGTTTTATGATGACATCCAGAAATCTAACTGGTATCAATACTGGGTACTTAGCAAGCAGGAATTTATTAATGCTGCGCTGAATTAATTTTTCATATTTAGCTGTTTGACTGCTTATCCACTTGACTGGGTTCACAGAATATATCACATAACAACGGAGAATGGTTGACTCTTAGGCAATTATTCAAGATGTTTCAAAATGATCAAATTCTTATGATGTAAAATGAAAAGAAACAATGAAAATAAAAGACTAGGTATCCTTAACAAAACCAGTTTTGGAGATATTTAATATGTCTTAAGAAATTAAAAGTTAGCAAAGAGAAAGATAATAAAAGCAATGAAGATGTTAAATCACAAAGTTATTACTGACTAAAATCATTAGCTAGGAAAAAGGGAAGTGCAAGGGTAAATCTCAAGGTTTATGGGTTGTGCAGTATATTCTGAAACCATAAATTATAAAATTTTCCTAGTGTATAATTTTTTATCAATTCAGCAAAAAGGACATTCAAGTGGTAATGGCAGGTTAAATGCCTATGATGTCTACATACAAGTTTGTGGAAAAGGACAAAAAATTAAATCTAACATAAACAATGTCATAAAAATGGCTTACGGTTCTGAAGCATCTGCATGATATGTTCCTTTATCATTGGTAAAACAAGTTTTCCACCAAGCCCACATGCCATTCTGTCTAATGCACTCTCACCAGCAACTGCATTGCTAAATATAGAAATGATGCATCGATAAATTAATTAAAATGTCAGAGAAATTTTAAGAGATTGGTAAATTAAAAGTTTTAGCCTAATATATTTTTACCATATGAAATTTATGATAGCTACTATAGGTATTTCAAACAAAGAAATGGTTAATATGGCTAGAACATTAGTGAGAAAACAACTAAAATATAACGGTTTTGGGTGATGTTTCAAATATTGGTTTGTAAAATCTTGTTAAACTTTTAAATTTTAAAAACTAACCTTAAGAAAGAGTTCTGGTATAAAACACAGTTTAATTAAAGTTTTTACTGGTAATACTGAATAAGGCACTGACTATTGGTTTCAAATTAACTATAGAACTCTGTGGCTGGCAAGCATTTGTAAAGCTCTCTCTCTCCCTACTCCACCCCCCTAAAAAAAATCATACTTGTATTTGCAATATACTTTGTCTTTCAAGACTTCTTAGAAAAATTTTCCAATTTCCTCATCAACCAGTTCAGATATTTAACACCATCTTTGCTCTAAAAATTTGTATTAGATCTATTCCAGATTTGTAAATGAGTATCAAAAAGGACATTCTCCCCCACTGCAATAAAAGCAAAATGATAATATACTTTGACTCTTCCAACTGAAATGAACTTTGCTCCAAGTAAGCTAATTTCACTATTTCTAAAAAAGTCAAAATACCTAAATCACATGCTGCAGCTAAACCTCATTTCCTCTACTAGAATAAATATAGTTATCTTTTTTATATTCTAAAAAACACCTGTATTCCTTAATCTCTTATTTGTTTTGTGTACATCAAGCAATAAATAAACATCTCAAATAACAAAGCACTAACTGTTAAAACCACGAGCAGGTGTTAGGAGGAATAAAACATAAGCCTTAGGAAGAAAATGCCACATTTCTTTAAAAATGTTAGTATTTTTGATAAAATAATGCATTCAGTTACTTGTGTAAGAAATTATAATCCCTACCTTCCCCTAAAACATGCTTAATGAAATGTAATTATTCATTTATCCCTCCAAAACAGTTTCTGAGATAAATGGTGCAAATATCACACCAGAAGCCAATGAGTTGAGCTGGAATTAGAATTCACAAGCTTTCGTTCCCAGTCTTGAGTTTTACTGGGCCATGTGTTTGAGTTTTCTCTGAGCAATTACCTGTCAAAATCATCATCTTCCAGCTCATCAGCATTTGCCCAGTCTTCATCCTCTTCCAAGTCTACCATCATTGCTAACATCTGAGGAACTAAATACAAAGCAATTACTGACTTCCTATCTACAGAAACAGGTTTCTTAATTTGATATCCCCCCCCTCCACCCAATATGAGAACGTAAAAAATTTGTGTGAAAGGGTCTCTGATAAAATTCAAATATTCCAGTGGGAATGTAGCACAGTGGAAAGACTTCTAGACTTGGATTCAGTAGAGACTTGGTTTTGAATCCTTCCTGTTATTTACAAGCTAAGACCACGTGCCCAAATGACTTATTTTCTTTCAGCCTTAGCAACCTCAGCTGTAATATAAGAAAAATAGGCAGATTATTTTCAAAAGTTGCTGATAATCAAATGAGATGCCTATGAAATGCTGTCAAATAGATACTCTATAATTCCCATTTTATTATTATTTTTAAGAAATATAAAGACAGCAAATTTTTTGGCTATTAAAATGAGTATATAACTGGATATATACAATAATGAAAGAGAAGTATAAGCTGTAAACATCAACTCAAGAAATACACAATAGTTCAAGAGTTCAACACTTAAGCACTCAAACCAGAACATAGTATAGCACTTCAAACACAACTGTTACTGAAGGGCTACTATGTAGTCAATTTTTAGTTACTAGGACTTCAAACATTGTCCTTTAATTGGCACAGAGAAAACAGATCTATCCCATTTAATGTTGTTAATGGTTCTCTAAATACATGATAGTCAAACAACCTCACAGAAAGCAGATAGTTCTTTAGTATCAAAGTATAAATGGGAGGTAAGTTTGTTAACAGGGAAAATACAGGTTCCACTTGGGAAATAGTGGGGCAAAGGAGGTAAACATCTGGTATTTGGGCTGCTGCCTGGCAGGAAGAACCAAGGTTGTTGACTAGCCAAGGATAGAATGGCTGGCTACATTTTGGAGGATATCAGATGTGATGCCCTGAATTTGCTTTGGCTTTGAGTTGTGAGAGAATTAAAGTAGAATGGAGAGCTGGAGAGTTGTAATGGGTCCAAAGGTTCTGAGAATTAAAAGAGACTATTATAAAAGGCACTCGAGTGAAGATGGTCACTGTTCTTATTACCGTCGGGATATAACACAAAGGTATTACGAGGGCATAGTAATGGGATATCTGCGACACTATCCAAGATCATGCTGTAGAGAAATCTTTCTACCAAGAAACTTTCCAAGGATATCAATATACTGAAAAGCATTAATCTTGTTTTACAACTTTCCTTTGGGAAAATAAATTGTCAATATGCACCCAAACTTAGGTTAACAATAGGATATCATGAAATTATGGTAGCATTTGGCTAAAGCCTATAAATGTTATCATGGCCCAAAACTTTATTTTTATCTCAGGGCAGGAACTATGTAACTACTTCTATCCTTGTATTATCTAACATCATAAACTACATACATATACTAGAAACTAAAACACTGACAACGAACTTGTATATCATCATTTTATGTTGCCACATGATTTACTTCAAATGAAAGTAATAAAGATGTAACAGCACCTACTTGTAAATACTGAGAACAAATAATTCAAAAGAGGCAAGGTGAGATGAGTAGTTGAGCAGAAAAAAAACCCCACTAAACTTCCTAAGTCAAGAGACTTGTATTATCCAATTCCATGACTCTCTAGCTCCCTGGGTCTCATCAGGAGATAATTTCCATTCTAGCCTGAGCATTCTACATCTCTAAAATGTTCCTGTCCTTTTGGTTTACACAAGAAATTCAATGTGTTCCTTTAGTTTTGTTTCTAGTGGGTAAACAAATAAAATGTTTTGAGGGAGTTTACAAAACAAAACACAAAACTTATTTACACAGAAAGGTAGTTAGTATAGACTTATGTGATGTATGCCGTGAACTTGCCTTTACTGTTTAGCTTACCAACCAAAAAGACTAAGGTAGTACAACCCTTCAGGTTGTTCCTTTCCATCCCCCCATGGGGAGGGCATAAGAAGGGACTCTCAATTTGATTAGAATCCAAAATAAGTATCAGAAGTCACCTAGTCTCTCTCATTCTACAGTAAGAGGCTACCCAAAGAGCTGGAGTCACTTGTGTAAGGTCACACAAATAGCACAGCCAGGATCTGAGCCTAAGTCTTTGAACTCTATATCCAATACATTTTTCACTATCTTCATCAAAAGTTTTTTTCTCTTAAAAGCAGAACCAGATGATAAAACTCTTTGATTTGTTTGAAAGATATCTTCATTCCTCAAAAATTGGACCAAGTGATGAGGACAAAAGTTTTTCTAGATCTAATTCTTACCAATAAGGAAGAACTGCTGTTTATTAAAATTATAAAGTCAAGAACCTCGGGAGAAGGACACTTTGATTTCATGAAGATCTGCAATTTATCTACAACTGAGTAGAGTCGCTTTTAAGTAATAAAGAATACATCGGGCCCTATGGCCAAGAATTTTACAGAGTAACTAAATGAAGCAAAGAGTTCATAGATTTAAATCTAGAGGTCAAGATTCTAGCTCCCTAGAGATGAGGAAATCAAGTCTCAATGAGAAAATCTCAAAGAGATTAAGTGACTTGCTTAAGGCCATTTGGTTAAAGTTTTTAGGTCACGTTTTAAACCTGTATTCTTCCAAACTCCAAGTCCAACACTCCATCCTTCCCATGACACCTCTGTCAAGAACGAAAATTCTGATGACACAAATGATTCCAGTGAGGAAGAAAAGCCGAAGCGAGATAAATACTTTTAGGGATACATAGGGATTAAGAGGCTCAGTTAAGATTTTAAAATGAAGCATATGGCAGATGGAAGTAATAGCAGGTAAATAGAATTGAATGTTAAAAAATGGCATGGTCCTTTAAGAAGGGTAATGACGTGAATGCTGAGATGGAAATGAATGCGAAGATGAATAGGCTTTTCTTTTTGTTTTTTAAAAGAGCTATGGTGAGAATGTACAATTGATATCATATTGTATGCCTCCTCAGTCAGTAAGGTAAGGTAAGTAAGGAGGAAGGGAGAAAATTTGAAACTCAAAATTAAAAAAAAAAATTTTATAAGAGTTGTGGGGAGGACAAAAAAAGAATCTGATTAATGCTATGGGTAAATAAATAGAATGATAATGCATCATCAAAAAAAGGACAGAATATGCAACTCTTATCTTCTATTTTGTCTACCAATAAGAATAACCCTTAAGACTACAAAAATAAAACAAAAATCATTAACAGGAATGTGATGCCAAAGGTTACATGAGGAGAGAACAGGAAAGCACCTGGTTACTCTCAATGTGTTCAAACCAACAGGACCAGATTATGTATATGCCAAGGAACTGAAAGTTACATAAACGACTGAATAGTAGCTATCAGTAGATATCAGTGACCTTTTAGAAATTAGAGAACAAAAAAAGGGGCTTTAGAAAAGAAAATAGGCATAAGCAACTCCAATCAATTAAAAAAAAGTGGTAGATAGATTAATCAATCTATGTTCAATAAGCTTCACTTTAATTTCTGGCAAAATTCCAACACATGCATAAAATAAAATGTGTGGAATTTCAAAATAAAAAGAATTATATTAAAATATAACTATCAAAATATGTAAACAAGTTCATAAATCTGAGGCAAAGCACTCCTGGCCTAGACAAAAGTTTCAGTGAAAAGGTCGTGGGACTGCAAACTTCATGAATGAACTATGATATGGGAAGTAAAAACGATAGACTCTTAGGCTGCCTTTAGTAAACGTAGCCCCACAGTACTCTGCTCTAGTCAGACCATGTAGAACACTGTGTTCATTTGTGTATAACACATCTGAGGAAGGATACTAACAAACTGGAGGTCCTAAAGATGACGGGACTGAAGGCAATGTCAAATGAGGCTCTGTCACAATACCAGGGCAGTGTGTAGATCAGAGAAGGGAGGGGTAACCTGAGAGTTTTCTTTAAGTAACTGAAGGCTATTATGTGAAAAAGTGTAAGACTATTTCTGACTCTGGAGAACAGAACCAGTATTGACAGCAACTGAAGTTGCTAATAGGTTGCAAATTTAGGTTTGATGTAAGGAAAAGTTTTACAGTAAGAGCTGTCCAAAAGTAGAATTGGCTGCCTGAGGAGATAGCAGGTTCAAAAAATTACTAGAGCTCAGGTAAAGACTGGAAAATCATTTGTCAGGGATGTTACAACTCATATTCAGATATGAGTTGTAAAAAAGGAGAAAAGTAATATCTATTTGTTTTTCTCAGAGCAGGAAAGAGTATCAACAAATCTGCCTATTTTCCCAAATATAACAACATAATCTTTAATTCAAGTGTTCATTTCATATGGACAGTGAAATAAGCACCTACTTTTAATTCAGTGAGGTATGCAGTATATAAAACTGATGAAAATTCTAAGTGGCATTCAAGTGAAGACATCATTCAAAAATCATCAACTTTCTCTTAATTAATTATAATTTAAACCAAACAAAGTATTTTACAAAGACTTTTTACTTACTAGCCTGTGCAACAATATTTGTATGTTTTCTCAGCATAGCAGCAGCAGTCTCAGACAGGGTCACTATTACTTCAAGGGCAAGTTGACGTTGCATATTATTGAGGCTAGTGTCTGCACATAACTATAAAACAAGAAGATCTAAGTACATTTACAAGTAAAGAATATTTAGGAAAAAATGTTCTTACAGTAATAAAGTTTACCTTTAGACTCAGCTGTAGAGTAGCTTCTAAGTGGGGACGTAAGTACTTTGGAACAGTATCTGCAATCTCAACAAGGGATTTTAGCACTGAGTCATCATTCTGGTAACACGAGTCATTTACAGCCTATGAGAGATGGAACGGAAAAACTTAATTATATAGTGTCTTATTTCTCAAAAAAAAAAAAAAAAAAAAAAAAAGCGCCAGGTAAATGGATATAAACACTACCATGACTAATTTTTTTTAGTTTAGTTATACAATTATTCATTCAGTAATCATTGTTTTAGAATAATGTTCTATACACTGATAAACAGAAAAAAAATTCTAACAGTTTCCAGTGACCAAAATATAAAATTCTGGATTATCTTCTAAGCAGCTTTTGACATTTGTGCTTTCCTTTGTGCTATTATAATGGGAAATAAATATGTTGAGAGACTGTAATGCCAAAAAAAGAATGCTGGGTTTGCAGTCCTAAGACATAAATTCTACCAGTTCCTGTGTGTTATCAGGCAGGCCAATTAATCTTTCTGGGCCTTGGCTTCCTTATCTATAAAATGAGAGTATAGGTCTAAAGAAATCACTAGGGTCTTTTCTAAGTCTATGATCTTATTTCAAAACTACAGACTAATCTAAAAATCAAAAGCTACTAGAGTATTTAATAACAGTAAAGTAACATGTTAAATTCATAATAAAGAATTTAAAAAATTAAACAGCTTGAATTGTGTTGAACGGAATTTGCTTAAACTACCTCTAGGCTCTAATAGTTGTTAAAATTCAGGTTTGATTGCTTTAAGAAATTAATACATTTTTATTAAATGAAGATATAAAGAATACATATTGATTTCTGAAGTTTTCAGCATACAGTTGACATATTATATTAAACATTTTATTTAATAAGCCCAGATTTCCAGATTTTCCTGGTTTCATCAGGCTTGCCATTTGACACTTCTAATTAGAAATATCCAGTAATGTTGTTCTACTAGAGTTCTGTCCATTAAATTCCCTCCGTATAGCAAATCAAAGAAGTTTTCTTCCATGTAAATGCATTTTGTACATTTCTGATCAAGGACAGCTATTATTTAAGCAACAATTTACCTATCTGCTCAAAAACCTCTAACCTCTACAGAGGCTATAGATACTGTGCAATGATTCCTCTTAAAGCAAAGTCTACTATTTTTACTACACTTGTGCCTATTCATAAGGTCTTCTTGAGCTGCCTCCTTTAACAACTGATATTTATATACTGTTCTTAAGATATGCAAGTGCTTCTCACAAAAACCCCAAATGTACTATATTATGATCCCTATTTCATAGATGAGTAAACTGAGGTTTAGAAAAGTTAACTGACTTGTCCCATAGTCATACAACTGCTGTTTGAAATGAGATATAAAACCAAGTCTCTCCAGTCTCCAAACTCTGGTATTCTTTGTAAAACATGAAAGCAAGGTCCAGTAAAAATTTCTCATCACTACCAGGACTACCTCTCTTATGTTCAATTTAATAGTCATTTGTGCCATACCCATAGACAACCTATGAGGAAGATATACGTTCAGTCATACCCTGTCTTGTCCATACCCACATGCATACTCACATATACCCTACCAATTCAGCATCACAGGAATTTCTATCAGCTATGATTATCACCATTATATCCTAAAAGTTGATAATTACTTTTACTATTCTACTTTATTAATGTAACTTCAATAATTTAGTCACTACTGTATACCGTACAATTTTATCTGCAGAACAATTCAGCTGTTACACACTTTGGGGGGGAAAAAAAGCTCTTAATAATCACAGTCTACACATCTAATACTTTGTAAAAATCACATAAATTCTAAATGTAAACTATGAAGATAAAATTCTTTAATAATATCCTTTAATACTTGTTTTTTGGAACTCTACCTTAAGTTGGAAGGATGTTCTATGACAAATGAAAATATTTTCTGCTAAACTCTGCTGCCAATAATATTAGCAGTAAATCTTTTTTTTTCCCTATCAGTCAGGGGTTTTCAATTCCAACTCTCCAAACCAGTGTTACTTTTGGCTGCCATGTCTTTCCCCTTGGCAAGGCAATGAGTGGTAACTGGCTTTGAAGCTAAGGATTAGCTGGGGCGTGGGTTCTTCTGGACATATCCTTGAGGTTAATCAATTAAACTTTTTCAGGAAATAGTAATAAGGTCAGTATATATATCTTGTTTTGCTTCCCATTTTTGAACCCCAATAGTTTATTTGAACTTCAAGCTGAATTTCTTGCAGTTGTGTGCAGTATATTCTCATCTTTAGATCATTTAAAAAAATATGATGATAATTTTGGGCTTTTGGTCAATAGTGTGCACATATGGCTTATTCTTTGATTCTTGTTCATTTCATTTCTTGCAGATTTCATGTGGGGGTGAGGTGGGGGGAGAGAGATGCTTGTACTATTCATCACCTTCTGACTAAATGTTGTTGACTTAACTGACTCCATAAAATCCTACTATATCATCATGTAGAGATGACATGGGATTCTCAAAGGCTATGCCATCAAAAATCTGACAAGTTCTACTACACTTGAAAGAATTTGCATGTGGTATCTTGAAGGATTGGTAGTGAAATTTAAGGATTAACCTAGTTAATTCTATGAAGGACAAAGAAATATTTAAAAATGTGGATAAGCATGAATAATGTATCAATTTTTCAATATATATAAAAATAAATTTAAAATCACAATCCTATATTCTTAAAAAGCTAAGTAGGGAGAGTACAAATAGGTTCTCCACTATATATTATTCTCTGGCTATAGCAACCTAAAAAGGAAATTTAAAATTTCTTACAGTTCTACTTTGCCTCCCCTACCCCCCAAACGGTGATGGCAGAGTGGCAGTAAAGCAGGCAATAGAAACTAAGAATCACTTTTTAGTACAATTTGGTACTTTTAATATATGCTTTTTGTCCAATAAACTAGTTAAACTGAATTTATTAAATTAATATTATACAAAAAAAAAAGGCTAGAAAAAAGTTTTGAGCAAAATGGTAAGACTGTTCTGTACTCTTTTTCTTCCCCCCACCCAAAAGGGGAAAGAAACCAGTAGTTTGTTTTTATCATGTTCTCCCCTAAGGCCAAAAAGACTATTATTTCATGAGGTTCTTGATTATCTCAATTTATAAAGCTTATTAAGTGGAAAGACCCTTAATGAGGATAATAGAAGTGAATATGTTGTGTGCTTTTGTGTATATATGTATGCTCACATCTCTTGGGAGAGGACAGAGAACTTAACTGTGATATTTGGTCATTTCAGTGCAAAGGTAGGCACTGGGAAAGATATAAAAAGATATGGAGATAATCTGGCTCAAGTTTATAAAAAACTAAAGTGTCCAAAGACAATTCAGAAACTTCATACTTGTATGAAATAAGTAACTTATCTCTTTTAATACTGGTTAAAAGGAAAAAAAAATTAGGACTAACAATTAAATCCAATTAAGATTTGTCTATGTACATTTATATGCATATAATATATATATTCTTCCACCCCAAACTTGGAATATTTAAAACTCCACAAGACACATTTTATAAAGCACAGGGTTGTACATTTAAACAAAAAGAGTGGACAGTAACATCCTTGTTACATTATTTTCTTACCTGTAAGATCCCAGGTAGCAAGTCTGCAAAATGTTTGAGTAATGCAACATTATGCTCATTAGCAAGCACAAATGCAGCTGCAGCTCTTGCAGATAATGTCCTGATCTGAAAAGAGTCAAAACACTGTGGATCAGGAGAAATAATTTTTTTTCTGCTGTGAATTCAAATCCTCCAATGCTGGATACTACTGTGTAAACTTCTTTTTTATTGTACTAATAAATCCTAGCTATTAAGCTATTTGGAAGTGAAAATACCATGAAATATTTGCTAAATTCATTTCTTTATTAATAAGATGCCATATTAAACTGCACATCTCAAGAAATATAAATTTTTATTACCGTTGGATGTTCCTGGTCTTGCATACACTGAACCAACATCCGTTTGATGACATCCAAATAATGTTGTTGTTGATTTCCAAAAATTCCAGGAAAGTTCCTAAAAATGTTACAAAACATATAAAATAACTAGGTCTTCATATCAAATGTTCATGTTAAGTTCAAATGATCTCTTAATAATTACATTAAATCTTTCCTACCATTTCCAACAATATAATTTTGGCTGGGGTAGAGAAAATGTAAGCAAAGGTTATACTACAAAGGAGGTGCCTTAGGCTGGCCCAGGGCCACTTCTTCCTGCTGTTTTTAACCTCTCATCACTTTAGTTCCTAGTTGGAAGTTGCTTTTGATTTAAGAGATGAATAGGAACAATGCTCAAATATGAAGCAGGAATGACGACTGGTGGAGGGGTTTTTGAACACTTGGTCCTACTCCCAGCAATCCAGGTTATTTGAAATTCTTCTATATTCAAGTCAATGAAAAACTGAATGTATCTACTGATGTGTGAGGTCAGGTGGTTGAGATAATACAAATTAAAGTAGAAATACGATAAGACAAAGTGGAAAAATAAAAATAGGCTTATCAGATACCTACATTTCTCTTCTCTTTAAGTGCTTAACTGAAAGTAAAGGCACACTTAGTGAACACAGATCACGTTTCTTTGTGTTAATCAAATCATTTCTTAATTATAACAAGGGAATGAAAATAACCCCCGAAGTAAAATAATTATTTTGTAATGTAGATAAGTAACCATAATGGATCATTTTCCTAATTTATATATACATACAAATGTGTCACACACATGCAAAAAATATTTTCTTAAATTGGAACACTATAGTTCTTAAAAACCTGGATGCAGAAAGACATATAATGGACACTACTTCTTGACACAACTGCCACAGAAGGAAAGAGAAAGACTAATTTGTTATCGTTTAAGCCCCTAATTATAGAGAAAAAAGCAAGATGATTCCATTAGAATTCCATTTATGATTTTCAGAAGAGGCAGAATTCCGGTCTACAGAAAACATAACATATATAAGTATGACATTACTATTTACCTTTAATACAAAATGCAACAGCATTTATATGTACATATATACATAGATATACATACACACTCAAAGGTATTTTAAAGACCATAAAAAGCTGAACGATTTAAGTCCAGAGCTCCTATACAGGGGCTGAAATATTAAAAGTTTTAATTTTCTTCCAAAAATTATTATCAATAACTAAATCCATGAATATACCAGAAAATGTGAAGGGCAGCTTCCCGCAGTCCCACATTTTGAGAACTGACTGAATCAAAAAGGAACTTCAGACCTTCTGGCCACTGGTTATTGCCATCCTCATCTGGAAGCAGAGAAATTTAGGCAGTAAATGTATAATTAGACTTAAAAACTGAAGTTTCTTAAAGGGTAACTCCTCATTTAGTAAAAAAAAAAAAAAAAAAAGAAGTCAATGTAGTTGTATTATAGCTTAATAGTAGTATAACAAATTCAGAAGATTAAGTTTAATTACCAAAAGAGTCCACCCATGTCATTCATAATGTTCACTACCTAATATTCAATTTGTAGGTATCAAAACATTCCTCTTAAATGTAATTATTTGCACATTTTTTAAAATAACAATAAAACCTAAATAAATTTTAACCTTTAGTATCACTTTCACTTAGACTCAAAACTATTTGAATTTCTCTTTCATGTTTTGAAGCACATTTTATAGTTTCATAGCACAGAGGGAATTTTATTTCTTAGGTTAACTTTTCAACAATCCATATAGTTACAAGTCACTAAGGCCTCCCTCACCTTTCTTTCAGTTACTTAAAGTCCATGTTGAAATTTGAGGAGAATATAGGATGAGAACCACCATTTTGGGGATGGGGATGATACAGTGGATTCAAATAACTACATTTCAATTAAATCAACACTGAAGCAGGAAAGTAAGCTGCATCAAGAGAGTTCAATCTTCTCCAAATTACTTTAGACTGATTTTTTGGGAGGAATGAATTACATAGGTGACTTTAATTAATAAATGTATTGATTATCAACTGTGCTTCACAAATATGTTCTCTTTACATTAAATCTTCAAGTCTTTGTGTCTAGGATTCTAAAATTGAAATCACCTAAATGATACAAATTCTACCAGTCTAAAAAAAAAAAAAAAACTCATGAACTCATTACTATTTGAGTAGACAAGAGGAAAATGCAAAGGTTTAAGAAAAAAGATAGAATTATGTAGCATTTGAAGAATAACAGAGTTCTCAACTTATAAATGGGTTGTACTCTAAAGGCTCATTTACAAGTTGGTTGTGTGGAGTTCAGAATAAATTTTCCCATAGAAACAATGTTATAGTAGTCAGTTCTCTAGCCTAAAAAGCCTGTTAAACAAAACAAAACAAAACAAAACAAAACAAAAAACCAAAACACAGTTGAAAAATAGTAGGAAACAAGTGTTATTATGCTTAGGTTATTTATATTTAAAGGAGTACCCTTTTGTCAAAAATCATAGAATATGTCTCACGGATCCCCATTATAGTTGTACTGCTAAAATTCATCAACTAAGAAAATAAGCAAAAAATGTATTTAGTATACTACACATTTAGTAATGTTTTAAAATGGAACAGGTACTTTATAAATTATAAAAGTCTCTATAAAGGCATTTGAGAAACTGCAATGCATATGTGAAAACCATTCATTATTCAAGATAACTGCTCTTTAAAAAAATTTAATATTGAGTCATACTACTTTCTTTTCCAGATCTAAATAAAGATTAAAATGCACATAAGGAATGGCAGCTCTTGAAATAATTTTAGTGCTTCCCAGGGGGTCTTCCATCTAAAGAGTGGGAACCACTCATCTAGAAGCTGATAGCTATAGTTTTTGTCTATTTTCTTCCTGGTTACAGATATAATCCCTAGCACTATTCCTTTGCATTCTGTCCAAGAATAGGACTGTTTTAGACTTATAAATGGAAGGAAGAGGATTGTCCTGGGATAATGAAAGAGACTTCACAAGAAAATATCTATGTGAGAAAGACTTTACTGTATTAGCTGAGTTGTGAGTAATGTAAAATGGAGAGAAAGAGGCAGTGCCCTGAAAGAGGTAGTGGGGAAGTGATTCAGGGTGAAGCCATAGACCCCAAAAGGGGAGAGTAGAGCATGTAACTTGCCCAGCATTCTTCCACAACACTACCAGCTGCCTCTCAAGGTAAAACTGGGATTAAAATTATTATCTACTTCCCAGTTTAGAGATGAGGAAACTGAGATTCAGAAAGGCTCAGTGATGTATCTGTACCCATGGTTGCACAGCTAGTGTCCAGAGATGGGATGTGAACTGTTCTTGTCTTACTCCACTTTTTCCACTATACCCTCAGTACTCAAACTAAAATATCAATTGAACTCACTGAAGCTGAGCTTATCAATATTTTAATATGATGGATTCAGAGGGAAATGAAATTGAACTTGCCATAGTAAGCCCTTTAAACCAAAATAAGGAAGATGTGGCTAAACAGTGATTTCTATCAGATGCAACAGCATTTATTCTTATAGTGGAATGAGGGAACTAGGGAAGTTTAGACAGGGAAAGAAAAAAAAAATCACAAAGCCAGGCAACTTTCCACTAGTGGCTTCAATTATATCTGCTGTGAACTTTCAGACAGTAGGCAAACCCATATTCAAATCTAGAAATCTCAAATCAAGTAATTTAAAAAATGAATTGCCGTTTTGCATTTTCTACAGCTTCACTGGCATAATTAGAAGATACAGTTTAGAGACAGGTTTGCCTGTACTTCTAAATCTTTGCCAAAATGTAAGGGTAAAATATTGACAAGACAGTTCAAATGATTTGTTTCTTAATTACAAGGTGAGTTAAAGTGCTAAATGTTCAGGGAGTGGTCTTACAAAAAGAGAAATGTAAACCGATCTCACTAAGCACATCTGCATATACATTAGCTGATGCATAATTTATTGACAGTCATATACTGAAAATATGAAATTATAATTTTTGTATAAGGAGAAGCACAATATGTACATTTTAGAGACTATCCAAAAGACTTCACAATAATTCCAACTCTTTAGTCTCATTTGGAAAAGAACAAAGGTCCACAGAAGTGAACCATGAACTTCACTCCAAAAAATACTTAGGGATTAATATATGTACATTTTCTATCACTGCACTCTCATTTCATACCTACCTATTAAATTCCTGGCCAGCTCAGCAGCAATATCACACACTTTTTTCCTCATGCTAGACTGTGTTTCCATCTGAATAATTAATAGTAGTTCAGTTTTAATGGCACTCTGAACATCAGAAGGAAGAGTTGGATAAACTTCCTCAAAAGCAGAGGACAAAAGACGTCGTAGGAGGACAGCAGCCATTTGTCTAGCCTAAAACAGACAACAAATTTTGTTACCTTGTGTATTACTAGAGAAAAAATTCTAAGTTAATTTCATCCCACTCTTTAACACATAAATTTCAATTTTCACTTGATTTTTACAGTTCATCAAAAAATTACTACTTTGATACGCCCCTGCCCCCTAAAAGGTGAATTTAAGGTATATGAAAGTTTTCCATCAATTTGTCTATATTCACTTACAGTAAAATTTGAACCAACACTGTCCTTCATCACTACAGAAAACCATTAAATAATGCCTTTTAAACTCATCTTTCCACATTAAACATAGTTCTTGAGCCCTTGCCTATCATTCTGCATGGCTGCTCTTTTACAAAGTAGCTTGGGAGAATGCTTTCAAGGCCATTTTATTCTTTATCTATAATCTACACAAATGGGCACAGTATGGAAGCCTCCTTGATTTTCCATATCTAATGTCTCTTCCACTTTGTTGGAATAATTTCTTTCCTTCAAGGTCTTGCTCAGGTGTTGCTACTTCCTTTATGAAGTTTCTCTGATACCACTTCTTGTTATACATAAGCTCTTACTACCAAACTATTCAGACTTTTCTTATGAACTTCAACTTACATTCTAGTTATCAGTGCTATCTACCTTTCCCCCCCAAAACAGATTTCTAAACCCAAGGTCTGGGGTGATTTATACCTAGAACAGCATAACCCCATGTACTAGGTGCTTAATAATTGTTTGTCAAATTCAATTGGGATTCTCAGGTCAGCATTTACTATAAAACTTCAGGCGCAGTTGACCAAAATAATAAACTGTTATTTTATGCTATGTTTAAAATTCCTAAGTAAACCTATGACTCTGGATTCCAGAAAATAAGAATTTTCTGTCAGAATATATTTTCTTTATTCACTAACACCTCGAACTTTTAATGATCCTTAAGGCTTAAGTGTTTTAAGATTTAAATTGCTTTGAATATGTCATTAGTGTTTTACTATAGACTTTTATGAAATTTTATAATCCACATAGGGAAGTAAAATCCTCAAGTTGTTAGCTGGAAGGAGCCAACGTCATAAATCACTTAGTCCAATCTTCTTATTTTATCCTTAAAATGATATCCTAATTTTACAAGCTTGCCAGATAATGGAACTTTCTACATTAATATTCTATATAAGTTCAATTAAGTCTTATATTGGTAACCAAAGACCCAATACCTGACACATAGTAAGTGCTTAATAAATATTTCTTTCTTCCTTTCTCTTTCCTTTCTTATCATCAAAAAATTCCAGACCATATAATCACCTATCCTGCCAGATTTGGTGTTCTTCTTGGCCTTCCTTTCCTATACTATATTTCTTCTAGTTCTCATCCACATTGTTAGATGGCTGTTGTTGAGGCAGTTAATTCACACAGTGGATAGAGTGCTGCAGTAAGGAAGACCTAATCAAATCCTACCTCAGACACTTACTAGCTCTGAGACCCTGGGCAAATTACTTAACCTCTCTGAGCCTTAGCATCCTCATCTACAAAATGGGGAGAATAATAGCCAACACTTCCCGGGTTGCTGTGATGGTCAAATGAGATGCTATTTGTAAAGTGTTTCATAAAACTTAAAAGAGTTATACATAAATGCTAGCTCTTATTACTGCTGTTATTAGGAATATCAAATTCAGGTCCAAATTTAGGCTCTTTTTTAGGCCAATTAATTAATTTGTGCTTAACATCTTTATTAAAAATATTCCAAATATTAACTCTTGTCTTCAGTGGTACAATGTAATCTTCCCAGGGAAAAGGTATTTAGTCTGTATTCATAAACCAAATATCTAATATAGTACCTGGCACACAGGAGGTACTTGTTGACTGATACAACTACTTGCAACCCATTCATAAGCCTAAATAGATGTTCTACTAAGCGGCTTCAGTGAAACACAGTATCTTCAAAGCAAAGCTTTCTCAAGCACGTGAATTAACCTGATTCTTCACCTGAGATACCTGTATAACCTTAGTAAGTTATGGTCCAACTAGGGTAAAATAAATACCAAACTCTTTATGATGCCAAATTTTTCTATCTTAAAAAAACAAAACAAAACAAAACAAAACCAAAACCAAATAGACCAAAAACCTTTAAGGATTACTTCACTAAAAATTTTTTTAAATTTCATTTAAAATATTATTTGTCTTTATTTTTATTGATAAAGAAAACTATGAGAAACAGCAAAAAAAAAAAAAGAAAGAAACAGCAGCCAGGTATATAAGAACAACAGTTAAACAAGGAAAGTTTTCAATAAAATTTTACCAAGACATCTGGTTATCTCCTATCAACAAAAGAGACTCTTAAAAGTTTCAAATACAAATAACGTCAGAGGGATTACTGATGCCAAACACGTATGTGTTGGCAAAAACATTTACAACCTAGTTCCCAAGTTTTAACTTGTTTTAAAGATGCGTATCAATGGTTTAGCTGTTTTTGAAAAGATTTTCTACTATGTTTAAGACACTGCTGAAGTGTTCCTGCCACAATTTGGTTGTAGAGAAAACAGCTGTTTTCACAAGCAAAATGGAAATACTTAAAATTTAGGCAGAATGAAAAACATTCTGCACGTGGCCATGATTGCAGCATTGCACAACAGAATGCATGCTCCCTGACGGAAGACTTAAGTTTTTGTCTTTGTATTCCCCAGGACCTAATACTTTGTCTAGCCTATCAGAAGTGCTTAAAGGTTGTTGAATATATATATATGATCATAGGACCAAGAACTTTAAGGTACCTTAAAAGATGCCCAATCCCTTCACTTTATAGGTGAGGAAACTAAGTCCTAGAAGGTAAGTGATTTGTCCAAAGTCTCATTGATAATATATAGCAGAGGTAAGATTTAAACTCAAGCTCATATTACATCAATTTCTTTTGTAAAAGTATATATATTGATAATTTATGTAATCATCAGCAAAGATTTAAAAATCAGCCTGAATGCTGGTGCCCACAGTACTCTGGAATGCTTATGTGCAATTCTTGTAGGCTAAGGACTATTCTACAAATGTATGCAAAAAGACAACAGATGAACCAGACACTAAAGAACCTGAACTCTCATCATGCACAGGGCAAAGTTATATCATAAAATCAAAATGTTTTAATGCCCAACTAACTAAAAATGTTCATTAAACTATACTATTTAAGAAATGTATAGGGGCAGGTAGGTGGCGCAGTGGACAGAACACCGGCCCTGAATGCAGGACCCGAGTTCAAATCTGACCTCAGACACATAACGCTTACTAGCTGTTTGATCCTGGGCAAGTCACTTAACCCCATTGCCTAGCCAAAAAAAAAAAAAAAAAAAAAGAAATGTATAGCCCAATATAACACTAACAAGGAGAAAAACAAGAGCACAGTAGAGAGACTACTCAGAGTTAGAAAACTTGGCCACAGGTGCTAGTGATGCTTTCTAGCTTGTGACTGTGAGCAAATCAAACTCTCCAAACCTCACTTTCCTAATCTGTAAAATGAGAACTCTTTTATTTCTCACATATAACTATTGTTTTTCATAATTTCAGAAGAATAAAAACTGTAGGTGACCCAAAGGCCAATGGAGACAGCTGTGTGGGTTTAAGTATGCTGCAGGCCATAATGATCACTTCAAGCATGAGAAAAGCCATAAAAGCATTGTTGTTAAGACCATGTATGATCAGAACAAGAGCAGAGAGTCAGTTATTACACTGTGAAAGGGAAGTATAACAGACAATCATAGTCCAACTGTTACCCAGGCATTCATTGATTACAACAATAGGCCTCCAGTGAACAGGTACTAGGATTCTCTACCAAGCAAGGATTTACAAAGATAGAATATAAGGACACACAGGGTGAGGCATGGATGATCAATACCAGAAGAGGGCAGTATACCACAAATCTACTGAAATGTCACTAAAGTCAGTTCTGCTATAAGGTGACAGGTACATGCATTCCCTCTAAGTTAAGCAAAATTGTGTGCAATAAAACCCATAGGAATTATGGGGGAAATAGGGTTGGAGGACAGAGCTCAGAAACTCAAGTGACACACAGCTGAAGGGGTGCAGAGGACCAGCCCTTCTCGACTCAGTACATACAGCACCAGAAGACATACAATAAATATGGCACTTTACCTAAAACAAAACTTGACGTTTGCTTGAGGAAGTAGGCTGCAACCTGGGAGTTAACTGTGAAGTTTCTGCATTATTGCTGTTTCTCAATGAAGAAATCGAGCAGAAACAAACTCAAAATTATACTCAGAATACATCATATCTCCAATATATTAGAACACAGGTTAAAGCGAAAATGATTGTACTTTGACTAATCTGTAATCTCATCAATTGGGGTAGTTATGCCACTGATCTAGGTAACAACCCCTCCATGCCTTCTTATCCTGTAAGTTCTTTGTCTTTATGGCCATGAAACAGGGACCAAACTAGTGGGTTGTGTGTGATATTAATAATTCAAATTACTTAACATCTCTGGGCTCAGTTTCATTTATTTTGTAAAATGATGGGTAAGCAGATGATCTCAAAGACCCATTCCAGATCTAAATTCTATGATTCTGTGAGCACGTGTACCACCTTTGATATCTTATCTTGGCATTTTTATCAATGTCATCTGTAAGTTATACTAGATATTGAATTGTAAATCTAGATCACAAATGGGACAGTTGAGTATCCAATCCACCAGCAAAGAAAGAGCCATTGTAAGTACCTATTATATAGTAAATCTGAAGATCAGAGATAAAAATGCACAAAAGAAATTCTATTAGGTCAGTTATGAAATGCTGACAACCCCAATCTGGTCTGCAGCAAACAAAAGAGAAGACTAAACAAGTTAACCTGTAACTTTTGGGGGAAAAGATCAGGAGACAAAACTTAAGTGGGTAAGGCAAGATAGATCTAACTTTATACTTTGTCACTCATCTCCACACCGAGCTACCACATTCAACAAATTGGGAATAGAGAGTAGGAAAGTATAAAGGATGTTTTATAATACTTTGTAAAATGATATTAAGTACATGCAATCAGAGGAACAGCCTTTAGATTGTGGCCTGGTAAAAGTGTGACTATGATGCATATACTGAGATAGAACTCACGAGACACACAAATACCACCATCCCATTTTTACAGTTCCAACTCTATATCACTGGAGAGAGGAAAAGGAGGCGGAGGAAACCAATCTGGGATTTCATCAGTGCATGAAGTTCCCAGTGAGGCACTTTCTAATGCAGATCGCAGCTGCTTTGCAAAATGTGGCTTGCTTAGGGCCAGAGTCGGAGGTCAACCTTAACCCAGGTCTTCCAGACTCCCAGGCCAGCTCTCTCTCTATCCATTACACTAATGCCTAATAAAATTCATTACATCTGCCTGTCTCATACAAGAAATATTAGCTTATTATGAACTCACGAGTACATTTTGGAGCATTAAACAATTGAGACAAATTTAAAATTGATCATTTAAGGTGTCACACCTTTATTTCTATCTGTCCTTTTTGGTAGTAAAGAAAATCTTAGCATTCTTTGTCTACCATTTCAATACACTAAGTTTTAAGTAAAAGCATCATCATTTTAGTATACTTTCAAAATCTAATCTGAAAATCTTTTACTCAGCTTTTAAAGCTAGCTTTTTGATACAGATTTTTTTCCCTACTAGGTAAACATTGAATTTCTTATTTATTTTCATGACCTCTAAATTGAAGATTTTATTTTTAGATAATCGTTTCCCATACTCAAAAACAGTATATCATGAAAACACATTCTTTCAAATTGAGTTGTGACCTTAAAACTCAATAATAACAATGACAATAACAATAATGATAATAATAACAATAATAATGATAAATAAAAACCAGGAGCCCTCAACATCTCAATAGCAGAGGTGAGACCTAATTCCAGGTTCTTGGACTCCAAGGTTACTGTTTTTATATACAAAACTGTTTGACAACAGTGATTTTTTTTTTTTAGGTTTTTCTGATTTGTGAATATATTAAAAAAAAATAGTATTAATAAGTATCACTAATGATGTTTGCTTTTTTACTAGCAAAAACCAAAAACTTACCTTCTGATGGTTTAACAACATGGACCTAGGTCTTATTCAAGATTTAATCAATCATCCAATCATATAATGAACAGAATCAGCAGTGTGGGTGATCTCAGTGGATTTTGAAAGAAAGAATATGGACTTCTATTCCCAACTGCCACTTACCTAGGTAAATAAGATTCATCCTGGATCTCAGTTTCCTCATTTGTAAACTGAGGGAGTGGACCAGATTCCTAAGGCCTGTCCTAGTTCTATAACCTTTTTACATTTCAGTTTTCTCAGAATATCTAATGAGGGGGTTGAACTATATTCTTCTAGGGTAAATCCAATGTATATATCTGTATATAAGCTCTTATTATAAGCTTTCTACTAACAACAATCCCATTTTAATTATTTGAGAGAATGAAGTTATTTTCAGATGCTTTAATACCTCCTCAGCAGCAGTTGTATTTCTGATGGCTTGCAAGAGGAATGTGATTTTAGATTGTCCAGGGATATTTTCATAGGTTTCCTAAGGAGGAAAAAAAATAAATGATTTAATATATAAATTGCTGTCTTCTAAACCATCTTACTGCTCACCAAGGTTTGCAACCTCAACTCCTCATTATCTCTTGCCCCTCCCTTATTCAATCACTTGCCAAGTCTTGCTGATCTACATATCTCTCCATTCATACTTTTCTCTACCCACACAGCCAATGCATTAGCTCAAGTCTTCATCATCTATGCTGCCTTGACTATAATAGCCTCCTCTAATTAATCCTGCAACCCTATCAGTCCTTCAACAGAACTGCCAATGATACTCCCATAGCACAGATTTGACCATGTAACTCCCTATTTAAAAAGGCCCAAGTTAAGTGGTTCTCTCTTGATTCCAGGATAAAAAATGAACTTTTCTGTTTAGCATTTAAAAACTTCCACAATAATCTCACTCTAGCCTGGCTTTCCAGGCTTACCACAACCACATGTCACTTCCCTTCACACTTTATGCTTCTAGCCAGAGTGGTCTACTTGTTCTCTGCATACCACATTCTAATTCCCATATCTGTAACTTTGTACAAATTGTCCCAAAGACACAGGAGCTACAACAAGGTATTTATACCCATTTCCCCCCAATTGTTAGCATCATCCTCTCTAATACTTTTTAGATTTTGTAGATATTTTGAATATATTTATCTTTGTACATACCATCATTCTCTTCCCCCTAAAAGAATGTACCTTTTTTGAGGTCAAGGACTGTTTCAATTTTCTTTATATACCAACAGCTAGCATTTATATAACATCCACTATGTGCCAATGCTGTGTGCTAAGTGCTTTACAAATATATCATTTGATCCTCATAACCACCCTGGAAGGTAGTTGCTATTATCATCATTTTGCAATTAGGTAAACTGAGAAAAACAGAGGTCACAGCTAGTTAAATGTCAGAGGCCAGATTCTTCAGGCATAGCACAATTCCCAACATCTAGCACAGTTTGAAATTAGCAAATGCTTGCTGAATGATTAAATGAATTACAGTCACATAAAGAATACTATCATAGAAACATATGCCTAGAAAAAAGAGGCTAGTAATCTAGGTATAGAGTTAGAATATTTACTTATACATTTCCTGTGTGTCTCTGAAGTCTCTAGATTTAGAGACCCATAGTACCTTACATAGAGAATCTATAGCAAGACAAGGTCAAGATACTCACAAAATGAGGAGGTGTGGGTGAGATTTCTAGAAAAGGCCTAATGATTCAAGAAAATTTAGATATAGAAGTAGGTTATCTGTTATTGCTTAGAGCATGGATATAAGGCTGCATTAAAAAAGAGAATGACATAGAACCAAGGTAGGAAGAGATCAAGGAAGGTCACTGCACCTAGTGCCCCCCAATGCTTTTCAACATGTGACTTGGGACACAACAGCTTGGAACCTATGTTAGGGGTGTTAGCTCTTCAATTTTCTCCCTGCCATTTATCCAACAATCTGTTTTTCCATATCCTTCCCCATTCCTGCCTCCCCTATCAACTTCTTATACATTAGATATAATTATTCTTTTTCAATCCTGGCTGTCACTATTTCTAGCTCCTGTCTTGTACACCCCACCACTCCCCAGCTCCCCTTTCCTCTCCTCTCCTTGTTAAAAAACTGGCAGAGGGGAATGAAAAATATAGATTGTAACAATGTTCCAAGGATGAGTTCTCTGGAGCCTCATGAGGAAACAGTGACCTAGTTGGGTTGTAATTAACCCTTCCCAAGTATTAGGGTACTTTTAAAAAATTTTGAGGACCCCCCCAATAATAGTAGTTATACTATTGCTATCTATTCAATAGAAAATTTTAAAAAATCAGCAACTTTTAAATGATTCTGTATTTTATTAATCACAATAGCACCAACATAATTTAGCCCACAAAAGAAATGTTGGCTAATTAGAAATTTAGATTTGGACAGGACCTTAGAAATCATCTAGTCCAAAGCTACCACTTTTCAAGTAAGCAATCTGTGACTTGCTCAAGGTTGCAGAGAGTATTGGAGCCATGGTTTTACAAGCATAATACTTAGAACCAACATCTTCTTTCTGTGTATTTTGATAGAATTAGACAATTATCAAAATGATATTCCAAGAAATCTATTTCCAAGTACATGTGGATTCTAGGACCCTCTCTAATAACTCCAGGCTCCACAGGTTGGGACCCATTAGTTCATCATGCTCCTTTGTAGGACTAAGCCTCAACAACTTCCTGCCAATCTCTTCCCAAGAGCAAGGTCATCAACATAAAGGCCATTTTCTCTGTAATCCCTAGTCCAAGGATGGGGAACCTGCTACCTCATGTGGCAGTCTAGGTCCTCAAATGCAGCCTTTTGAATCCAAACTTCATAGAATGAATTCCCCTAATAAAAGGATTTGTTCTGTAAACTTGGACTTAGTTAAAAGGCCACACCAAGGATCTAGAAGGCCACATGTGGCCTCAAGGCTGCAGCTTCCCATCCCTGTTCTAGACCAAAGATAATCAACCTAGAATTGGTTTAAATTACTTAAGGCCACTATAGAGCTACATCTGACCTGGAATCAGAAATCAGGGTAGGAAGACAAGACAACCTACCATTTCCCAAGCTACATTTTCCTTAGCTTTACCAGAATGAGACTATACCTAAAATATTCTCATACAATCATCTACTAGTCAAAGAGGAGTAAGCCTCAAAATCAGAAGACTTAAATTGATTGGATGCAGAGTTAGTTCACCAAAGGCACCTCAGTATTTAAACTGACCAAACTTCACAGCACTATTTTCTTTGGGGGGGGGGGGTGAAAGTTAGTTTTTCTCAAGATGTCACTCTTTTCCTCTAACTTTAATTACTACCCACTTACTAACCACTAATAGAAGGAAGAATAGGCCAAGGTAAAGTTTGCTGTTTGGCTAATAACTTTATATAATAAGGTTTAGAAAGCACATATACTCTACAGCACATATACTCTATGGTGCGATCAAAGCAAGGCAGGTTAAGTATGTCTCCATTTTGAGGCTTAAGAAACTTAGAAGACTTGCCCAGCATAAACAAGTCAAGCTGCTGGTACTCAAATGCAAGTCTGCCTCCCAGTCCAGTACCTCTTTTTCCAAACTTGATAACCTGATTCATCTCTTCCTCATAAGAAATATTCTCACTACAGGAACACTGTTGCTTGCTGGAGGAAAAAAAGCTAAATTTGGGGGTGAAGGGGAAGGAGATGTCTTGGTAAACTTAAGCTCCTTTTTGGATAACAGGTCAGATCCACAAATTCAAAGTGATACTGATGACTGCAGAATTTTATAGAAGCTGGTGAATGCAGTTTCTAAGTCTCAAAATTAGTAAAGTCAGGTATATATAATTTTAAATTTAAGGTTAAAAATAGGCATTGAGATCAGATGATTTACCTATCTCTACAGCTATTATGTCTTGCTCTGGAATGATCCTGAACTTTTGTAGCAAACTTGCAGTGTAACGATGTGAATTCCTTAGTCTCTAGACTTTTTTGAATCTTAACATTCTTTAGCAATTTACACTCAATATTAGTGAATACTTACCAGTTATAAGACTTTGGACAAGTGACTTAACATCTGAGTCTTAGTTTGCTTTTCTATAAAATTAGGCACGATACAATATTCAGGTGAAAAAAGAAAGAACTATGTGAATGTATTCACATGATTATTGTAATAACATGATTATTAGCTAGGCATATTGGTATTTCTTTAAATGATATTAGATGAAAAGCTATAAATTCTTATACCAGAATGTTTTGGAGAATCTTTGTACAATTTGTCTTTAAGCATAGACAACAAAGAATGTATACAGGCTTAGTTTAGAATAATTATCATTTCTCCCCAAATACTAAGCTATTCTGTAACTAAGCCTACATATTCTATGCTTACTCTAAGATAATTACAAAAAGATCATTCAAAACATTCAAGAAGATTCATGTTGTTATCACTGATTTCTTTAGCACACATAAATCAAATCTAATTACGAATATTAGGGTGAAATTCCAGTCAGTAAAGCTTTTTTTCCCTTTGGTCTACCATTCTTTGAAATGCCTAGAAAGTCAACCTCCCTTCACCTGCTTCTAAGCCCCATGGGGGATATTTGCATGGTATATTATACCTATGTTTATCCTAGTAATGGCCTTAAAAATGAAGCTCAAAATACCAAATGATATTCTCTTCCAGATTGGCAGTCAATGGAGTATAGTCTTAGAATACGTCTCCAACTAGGAAGTGGGATTCGTTTAATTTTCAGTTAGTGATATGTTCTCCACTTTGACTGCCTTACTGATTATTAAATCAAGTCTGTGAGTATTCATTACTTCTGGACAGAACTTTGTTTCTGAGAACAGTTTGAAAATGAAAGCTATTTGTGACTACAGATAATTTCTTATAAGGATAACTGGCTTAAATTTAGGCTACATTCTAGGCTCCCAAAAAGATGAGCTCAATCTAAACTTGGACGCCAAGAAAGCAAGAGAATTAAAAGATTTACCACCCTGCAAAAAAGAAAGGCTTGCCTTCAATAAAGAAATACCCATATTCAATAGATTTCTTTTCTGATCCTTTTAAACATTCTACATGAACAAATTTTCTGGGTGCAGTGCAAGTTAAAATTTTCAAGTCATAATTGATAGGAATATCACCTGGATCAGCAATTTCATTGGTATAGGGAATTCTTAGGTGAGGAAACTCCCTCTACCATTTCAGGTAGGCATTTTCAAACCTGTCTTAAGAGAATTGCTGGGGCACTGAGAAGATAAGTGACTTGCCCAGGGTCACATAGCTGGTATGTGTTGGAGGTGGTTCTTGAAACCGGGTCTTCCTGAGTTCTAGTTCAGTTCTCCTTCCATGATACCACAAAGAGGTAAAATCTGTCTGCTTACTATCTTCAACTTCCTATTATGGTTCTTAAAATTCAACGTGCTCTTTAGCAAGGATGCACAGCACTCTCTAAATTCCCTATTAATAGACTATAACAATACCAACAGATAGAATCCAAATTTATTCTAAGAGTATGGTATAAACAATTCCAGATCTGGAGTCACAAGACCTAAGATTAATTTTCTGGATCTCTGCCACTTTGGGTGAATGACGTCATTTCTCTGGGTCTGAGTTCCCCTATCTTTAAAATCAGGTCGACCGGATGACCTCACCTCACAGGTCATCTTCCAGCTCTGGATCTGTGAACAGGGGTAATCCCTTGAAAAGTGATCCTACAATGAAGCTTCTACATGGCCTGCTAAGACTAGCTCTGTATTTCAATCATCCAAGGACCTGGGGCTTCTTCCTTGGTGTGCACCTATTCCACTGATAGAAATTAGGAGCTCCTGAACAACTCAGCAGATGGTCCTTTCTGACTGTCCTGCAGCCAAACTGGTGATGAGTCTTTCTGAACTTAGCCACACTGGTCTTTGGACACCAGACATAACCGAAGCCTATTATGGGAATCCTCTCAGCCCCAGCAGGACCTTCCAGAGCTTGCATTCCTCTGGCATAGACTTTTGGAATTAAGGGTCATTTATCTTACACCCTATAAAGAGGTACAGAAGTAGTTCTATATAAAATGCATTATCACTATACATGTTTGAGGTTGCCATTAAGTAGTACTTCAATAGTAGAAAAACTAGAAGCACTAGTCTAGGTCATTCACCAGTTCATACGTGCTGGCGAACAAAATCCACCAATATTTTGGTCACATCCGATTCTGTCACTATTAGGGAAAGTCTTTTTATTCTTCTCTTATTTGAAGAGATGTTATTAAGTAATATTTAAAATAACTGACTAGTACAATGGGAAAAAGCAACTTCTATCTGTTCTTAAGACTATTAAATACATTTCAAGAGAGCTAGTCTTTTCCTTTCACCCAACTTCCATTGATATTAATGAAGTTTTTTTCCTTCCCCCAGGATCAAAGAGAAACAAACTTTTTGGGGAAAATGAACAGGGATACTAAATCCACTCAGAATAAAAACTCTGAAGTTATATTAAGAATTCTAGTCATGGGTTTACTTAGATCAATTTACTCAATGAATACCATGACTTTCAATTATTTGTTCTCTTTCATAATTACCATTTCATTATAATTTTTCTGTTTCTAATCACTGGGAATATTCAATTTCCCCCCCAAAACATTTGAAGATTGACTTCGGGAATAAAGTGGGGGAAAAAAAAACCAACAACCCTTATGAATTTTTTTCTCATGTGAAACAAAATTTTGCTTACAAGATAATTCATCCATGCACAAGGATTTTGATACTGCCTCCTTTTTAAAATACGTATAGACAAAAAGTATCAAGGCCACACAGCATATGTAGGAAACACAAGGAAACAAACGACATATGACCCACAGTAAGAATAACATCTCACCAAACAAAATTTCTAAAACTTGATCACATCTGAACACAAAACAAGTTCACTTCCTGAACAGTCTGGCATTCATATGTCAACAAAATACATTTTATTTAGATAGTATATTAAATGGGCATTTCCCAAATACCAGTTCAAGTTAGTTCAAAGAAGATTTGTGAAAATATTTTTTATTTATCATATTAACCTATGGTGGCCAATTATCTTTAGTTTGATTTATTAAAGTGAGTGAATTATTTAATCTATATTTAATTTAACATATATATTAATTTAATATAATATTAGCACTGAGTCTTCCTATTACTGAAACTCACACTGACAGCTATTTAATATTACTTTATTGTCACCAATTAAGTCACAAAAATTCAATCTATATGACTTATAGCTGACTTATGAAGTGGTAGAATCACCTTTAACTATGTTTCCAGTTAAAAAAAAATTACAGACACAAATAAGTGATAATCAAGAGACACAAGTTAAAAAAAAAAAAACCACTAAGTGCCTGAGTTTTCATTATGAAACTAATGAGAACACTGCTTTTCCCTAATTGTTTCTTATTAAAGAATGTGCTGAACTCAACAACAAAGTGATGCAAGTGATAAAAGACCAAAGAGAGCCACCAATAGGAATTCATGCTAAAAAGACACTGGTATTTTAGTTCAATAGGAGAGAGATTCCCCACTGAGCTTGACAATAGAGATTTAAGCAACTGGAGGAAGGAGAATTAACCTAGCTTACTAATTATAATACCATTCTTTGCTTTGCAATACATAAAAAGTTCTACTTCAGTGAGTTAGCTAAGATAAAGTGTTTTATTTTGTTCTGTAAAAACAATAAGCTACCAAAAAACACCATGACAAAAGTAGTTTCTTTAAATTATTTTCCCCAAGGACCAAATTTCCAGCACTGAATTTTTTTTTTAAACCTGAAGCCATACACTTATAATTTCTATTAAAGGCAACTATCCCATCACTGTGATTTTGAAGAAAATCACTAAATCCTTCAAGGGGAGGGGGAACGGAGAGAAGATGCCAAACAAACTTTCTTGGATATAGGTGTATATAAAACAATTCTTTGGCCATGGTAACCCAGAAACAAAACACTTCTTTGCTATGTGATAATATCTGGCACACACTACAATAACACAATTCAGAAAAGCTTTTTCTTCATTCCCCAGTTCCAAAAGTTTGGGCAAGAAAGTCCATTCATAGATAATCAAGATAAAAATTTAGTTCAAATTATACATTGCTGAAGATCGTTTATTTCAGTCCCTTCAGGTAACCAACACGACAAAGCTGTTGACCAAATAGGCAGCAAGTACTCCAACACTAAGCTGTACTTTCTCTGTCCTTTTAAACTTATTAAAAATCCGTGCTACTGGACCTAGAATACAGCAAAATCCCCTAAGTTCCCTCATGTGTCACAAAAATGAGAGCACATGGCTCCCTAGAGTCGGAGAAAATTTGCCTCCCCCCTTCCCCCCTTCCCCAGACATGATACATAAAGCTGGGCAGCTGGCTGAGGACAGTTCTTTAGAAAAGGCAGTCTCTTAAGGAAGAGAATACTAAAGAGAACAAACATCTATTTCTCTCTCCCCCCCACCCCCCACCCCCGCTCCTAGCCTTAGGGAATGGTGAGGACAGGAATAATTAGGAAAATGGGGCTAAAGGAGTTAGAATGGAAGAGTGACAGCAGCAGAGAAAGAAAGCCAAGGGGGATGGATAAAGTGCAGAATAAGAGAACAGTAAGTACCAGGTGGAAAAGAATGAGTGGAAGAGGAGAAATGGGACAGGCAGCAGCTCGGGATTTGGTGGGGGGAGGGGGGCAGAGATGGAGACTAGCCTGGATGGGGGAGGGGAAATCCCATTAGGAGAAAGCGGGAAAAGGGGCATGGGGGGGCATGGGAAAGGTCAAACCGTGCAGGGGGGGAGGGGAAGGGGATGATCCAAGTCGAGTTGGGGTCTAACCTCCCCACCCCCATCTCCAATGGCAGGATTGGGGCTCTCCTCCTGGACTCACAGATACTCACGCATAACAGCACCCGGGTACCACGGTGGGGGGTGGGGAGGGAGTAACTGCCAAGGCAGGACAGAACTGGACCGGACTGGGCAGGGCGGGGGGAGGGGGGAGCCGAGGCCGCCCCATTCCGAGCTGGAAAGGGCAGCGAGGCCGGGATGTAAAGTCCGCGGCGGCGGTGGCCGCGTCGGCTCCAGCTCCCACGTGGGCTGGGCCGGCCCGGCGCCTCTGCTCCGCCTGCCCGAGCCCGGGTCAGGCCGGCCAGGACAGTGGCAGTGAGAGAAGCGTGAGGTGGAGGGCTTGGGGCCCCCGGGCCGAGGTGGCGGGCAGCAGTCCGCGGGGCCAGGGATCGGGCCGGGGCTGGGGTGGAGGCCCGGAAGATCGGGGTCGGGGTGGGGGGGAGGGGGAGGAGAGACTCAGTTACCTCCGCCTGTTTCCGCACCACATTGTCGGGGCTAAGCAGGTTCCCCAGGAGCAGGTAAAACTGTTGCTGCTCGGCCGCCGCCGCCGCCATTGCGCTGAGCGTGAGAGAGAGGGAGAGGGAGAGAGAGAGGAGGGGGAGAGACACGGAGCCGTGAGGCGGGAGCGCTCGCGGGCGGGGAGGGGGAGGGGACACGAGCTGCCGGCACCAGCACCAGCACCAGCACCAGCGGCAGCGCACCACCAGCACCAGCAGCAGCAGCAGCCGCGGCGGCGCTGGGGCGCGGGAGAGGCGGGGCAAAGGGGGAAGGAAAGGAGGGGTGGGGCCCCGCGACCTCTCACCTTCCGTCCCTCCCAACCCGCGGACACCGCCGCCAGCCTCTCATTGGTCCCGGAGGCTCGAGGCCGAGGCGGCCTTCTTCACCGGCCCCGCTCCGATTGGCCGCGTATCCTACCGTCCTGCGACGGCGTCACTGGCCGCGCGGGCGGAGCCGAGTCGGGGTGAGGGTTGGGGGCGGGGAAGGAGAGGTTCGCGGTCTGGAGATGGCCTGAGCCGTGCGTCTAGGCAGAGCTGGGGCTGCGGGGAGGGGACTGGGCTCGGTCACTGGTGGCAGGCTCAGGCGCGATACTCGCAGGAGAAGGGGCGAGCCTCGCCTAGCGCGGTCCGTTCTTCCCTTCTTCCCTCCTCCCCCGCTTCCTCCGGGCCCGGGACTCCCAGGCCTGAGGACCGTAGCGGGTGGAACATAGCCCTCGACGTGCCCCCTCCTCCGAACCCCGCCCCTTGTTCTCCCCTCCTGCGGGAGGTCCCCCCGGAGGCTTGCGTGACTCAGGCTCTCCAGACCCGGGAGTGAGTCACGGACTCCCGCCAGGCCTGGGCCGAGATGGCTCCGCGCACCCCCTCCCCTCCGCTTCCTCCTTTCTCCCGCCAAATGTGACCACGTTGCACGCTAGTCCCTCCCCCAGCCCCCCCACGCTGGATCCGCCCCAGGAGCTGCGCGAGCTCCTCGGAGCTTCCTTGCGCCCTCGCTGATCTGTCTGTTCCCGGGATGCTCGGGGACTCCCCCTGCACCTTTCAGTCTAGGGGCGCAGGCCGTGTCAGTCACGGGGTCCCTGGAGAGTTGGAGAACTGCCTCCTTCCTCAAGGGAAGGCGGGGCGGGATTGGATCCGTTTGCACTGGCGCGCTGATTGGGTCCTGGTTAGGCCAGTTATCTGTTAATTTCTAGGACTCCACCTTGAAGGGGGCAGGAACACAGTAGAGAAACTGAGGCAGGAAGAAGTGGACTGAGAGTTATGGGGGACACTACCAAAGAGCCCCGATTTTAGTGCCAGTTATTTGATGCGAGAAGATGTTTCTGCCTTCGCAGAAGGCAAGCTGATGAAAAAAGTCGGGGCTGCTTTAAAACAAATTCCCATCAAAAAGGAATGTGATCGAATAAATCAGCCAACATTGATTGAGTGCCTGCCATAAGTGCTGGACTCTGTTGGAGGGTAGGGACTGCTCTCGAGGAACTGGAACAATCAATGGTCATTCAAAAGGGGGGAGGGGATGTAAGTAAAGAGTGATCCCAAATGAAAGGATTCCTCTTGCAATATAATGGCTACTGACTTCCTATTTTACTAGGAAGATAAAATGTCTTAAGATGGGAAATTAGGTTAATTAAGATTAGGAAATTTGCAATTGGAGGGTTCACCTTCCTTTATTCATCATCCCTTACTGATTTTTCTTCTGGAACAGGCCTGTGATTCAATGCCATGGGAAATCCCGGTGTGGAAATCCCCTTCCCTAGTGGAATTAGGTAGCTCTCTATAACCTGTTGGTTTTATAGTTGTCTGGTGGGGCAATGGGTAGTTTAGTGACTTTCTCAGGTATACGGCCTTGTATTGATTAGAGTGAACCCTGGTCTTCCTGACTCCAAGGTTGGCCCTGTAGACCCACTAGGCTCTTTCCTTTCTGTAAGCACTAAATAAGCATGTAGAACTAGTTTTAAAGAAATGATTATTAAATACTTTAACTCTTTCTCGTACCCTTTAAGGATTCTGAAAGTTTTGTAATCGGATTGTAGAAAAAACAACCGTAGTAAGATTTAACTGCCTGGTGGTGTCCTATCTACTGTAGTGGTTATATAACTTGGATTTTCCAGGGCACCCCTGATTTCAAGAAAAGTTTATTTTAAATCAAATTTTGAAAATGTAATATCATTTGTCAGAATGTACCAATTTTTATTTTAAAAGTTATAGGCATTCTAGAGTGGAACCCCGTCCAGGGCCTTGTTGTGTCTCTTATTAATGATTATACTTTTTCTTGAGATGGATATATAATTACTCCCTTATTGATAGTTCATCGAACAGTGAGATCCTTTCCATTAATTCTGTCTGTGATTACTTTTTTGTTTACTTGTGAGAGTAGGTAGCATAGAGTTAGTGTTCTGTGAAGGATTCTGCACTTTTTTACTTTTAAATTCTCTGAAACTTGAGAATCATGTAGGGAGATCTGAGCAGTGAGAAAATGTTGACGTTGAATAAAATGAGCTGCTTAGAAAGCTTGCCCAGTTACATTTTGTAGCTGTTGTGTTGCATTCTAACATCAGTAGGACATCAGTTTTTGAAGTAGAAACTGATGGGAAGATCAGCATTTAGTTTCACTTGCATATGAATTTCAAATATTGTTTAATCATGACCATGAATATTGACACATAAACTTGATAAACAATATGTTAAAGAATAAAGACAGTTCCTTTTTTCATAATCTGATACAATCATTTAGAATCCTTAAAAAACAGAAGGAAGAGGGTTTTTTTTTTATATAAAGGGTGTTTTCATCAACATTTTAAAAAAATCAGTTTTTATATTAGGTGGTATCACCTACTGGTGAACTGTGAAATCACAAACTAACCCTATTTAACCGTACTTGGTAAATATTTATCTTAAAACAGCAAGAAAGAAATTTCTTAGATTATAAGTGTGAAAGAATGAGATCCCCAAGCATGGTAGAAAATCATGTGACTTTAACAAATGGCAGGTTTAGTGAGAGAGAGGGTGACTGACAGTGGAGAGATACCAGAAAAGTCCAGAACACACTCTTCCAAAGGGTATAATAACCCGGCTAATCATAATACTAATATTTATATAGCCAATTTACACAGTTATGTTCAATCACTTTACAATTTATTCAAAATGCTATGGGGTTAACTAATTTCTTAAATTAACCCTTATCCCACTGAAATTCTCAATTTATTTTATTGGACATTTTTCCCACTATAGGAGTGCATTACAGATTTTATATAAAGAAGTCAATGGGAAGATAGGCTTTACTTTTATAGAAATTTTTATTTGCAATTAACTATGCAGATAAAAATTTTTAATAAAATAAGGACTACCTGGATTGCTTGAACAATCCAGGTATTTGTAAAGTATTTGTAAAATACTTTGTTATATGTATCACATATACATATGAATATATATGTGTGTCATAGGTACATATGAATACTTGATGAAACCCACTTGACTCCCATGTTAATATTAAACATCAGGCTAGTTTCTATGTAAACTCAAATAAAATAAAATCTCCCTTCTATGATTTGGAATGCGAAGAGTGATTATGGAAGATATTTTGGATTACTTTGACTTTTACAGTCTCTGAGGCGTTTTAGACATTAACCTCTCCTGGGACATTTTAAGTGTGACAATCATATGCATTTCCACATTTTCCTTCCTTGAATATTCCACTCCTCTCCCCACCCCCATTCTAAGTAGGAAAACAGCACACAGAACACAATCGATGCTCACATACAACTGATATTAGGCACTAAAATCTTTGTTGACTATATAAATAAAGTATTCTCCTTCCTTCTGGGCAATAGTTTTGAACCTCTGAAGCCTGACTGTTTAAGAGCAGTTTCAAAGATGTGAATTGTACTAAATTAAGGTTTGTTAGAAATAAATGGTAAGTAGTTTGCTAATTAAAACTTTTGCAAATTGAAAAAAAAATCTAACCTGAGGTATAGCTGTGAATGAGACAACCAGAGAACATGCCTACAAGGGGGAAATTTGTGCCCTAATGTTTACTGATGTTAAGGGAGAAATTGTTTAAATAAATTGATTTATTGCTCTTATGCAATGTAGGATATAATATGACTCATAGATTTAACATGACGTATTACATTCACTCTGTAGCTGTAGGTGGTTCTTTATTTTAGAACCTTGTCCTATGGGCTTATAGACTATTTAATACATACAAACCTTCAAATTTGGCAAAGTTAATTCTAGTTCTGTACGTGAGTTTTCTTGTAAGTAGTAATGATATGCCAAAATTGTACAAATGATGAAAGAAGGTAAATGAATTTTAGGTTGTAGGACCCTTAACGGGGCTAACAGATTCTGATAAAGGCACATGGAATGCTATACACCTAAAGATTGTCTCACTGTTAATCTATTTAGCATATATACTTTTTCCAATGATATAGTCCTACATAGTTTGGAATTCTTTACCTTATGGCAGTATATCCTTATGTTTCCAGTTTTGACTTGAATTTCAGGGGATTGGAGACATGGTATTGTACTTCCTGAGCTGAGTTCCTTGCTTAGGAATTCCCTCCTCCTGGTTTGACATAGACAGATTTGTTGACCTTTAGAAGACAAGATCACAGGTTTGACCATGAAAATTAACTCTTATTGGTTAAATATAATAACTGATAGGGCTGAAGCAAGTCGAAGAATGAGTATCTTTTTATTATTGGGTTCTAACGTTGATTTTTTTTTTTTCATTTAAATGTAATAGATAATTTTAAACCTTTGATTTGTGGCTTCATCTGAAGTAAAAATAACTATATTAAGCAGGGTTCAGATTTGGAAGATTTTTCCTAGAGAAAGAAAGCAGACCCAGTGCTGAATTATTGAATCTTTGTGCTCTTTTCTATATAGTTAGGATTATTCAGACTATACAGATAATAGAATTAGGACCCTACTTTTTCTAGGCATTCCTGAGTCAAGATTATTTTTAAAGATTGAGAGATGACTCGTTCATCATATTTTTCCTCTTCATTTAGTCAGATTACAGCAGCAGCTAGGTTACTGTTTAGATAGTGACACACAAAATTTCTCTCTCTTATGGAGGCATAAAGTCTTATTGTGACATCAAGCCTTCCTACACTATTTCCTGTGGTTGGTGTTA